AGCAGGGCAGGTCCATCTGGGGGTGAAGGGGCTGAGATAGGTTGTTTGTGCCACAAACTGGCACCAGGGACTGTTGTCCCCAGCAGTCGGGGCTGCTGGGATGGGGTGGTTCTTGCCGCTGTTCACTAGAGGGGTGGGGGTTGTAGGACAATGCTCCTGTGGTTACTGCATGAGACAGTCTGGGCTCCTCCTTGAGCTGCAGCCAGCAAACATGGTCTTACTTAGCCCTGGGTATGTCTGCGCCATACCTCTGTCTCCTGTTGGGAATTCCTTGAAGGTGCCTTTCTGCATTCTTTGTGAGGGGTGTTTTGGCCTATTCCGAGACGGCCACACTGTGTCATGCCATTTGGCTGGGAACCTCCCTTCCATATCGTTACTCCTTCATTGTTTTCTATTGGTTTTTTCTTCTCACTGGCTTCCCATCTAATACCTTATCCCTTCGTTTAAGGTTCCAGGTTCCAGGATTGATGTCTGTGTCTTTTTTACTTGGTTTTTTGAATCTTTGTAGTAGTGGGATGGCTTAGTGCATCTGACTATTCTGCTATCTTGGCCTCCATGAATTATATCTTCATAAAACTGTGGGGAAAAAGAGAATTAAGTGTTAGGAGCTTCATTATTCAAGTGCACTTTTAACACTTACTATTCTTTAAAATAAATTCCCATAGCTAAGCACTAATAAAATCCTCAAGTTAGAAACCATGGAAGTACAGTATTCCCCGCCACATCAGTTGCTCCCAGTGCCCTATCCTCAGAACTCCCTGCCCAGGTCGTTTGATCCTAGAAGGACCCCTGCTCATGGAGACTCAAACCTGGGCCCGCAGCCATGTGTCTCAGCAGCTCCACTTGCCCCTACCTGGCTGTGTTTGACCAACTTCTTGACATGTGGTCTTTGAAGCCACAGCCAACTGCACATTTTCACTTTTCCCTAAGGAATGAAGAGATTGGTTGATTAATCATTTGGTGCAAAATATTTCAAATTGGAAAGCCAGTTCTCATTACTTCAACCCAGGTTCTCCACAGAGCTGTGTTCTGAGCTTTCCTCCTCGCATGCTGCTGAGTCTTACCTGACCACACAGGGTCGGAGGTCCCTGTCAGCCCACGGAGATGGCCTTGGTGGGGCTTTCACGGCTCCCACCTCTTCCCACCCAATGTCGGGAGGAGCTGTTTGGATGGAGCTTTGTGTATGGTGTATCCAAACTTTCCTCATTTCCAAGGAATGGGCTGTAAGATGAGTTGTAATCCCATCAACTAGACTCTTTAAAATTGGGATATTTTAATTTCACTTTAGCACCTTTTATTAACATACCGCAAGAAAACCCAACATCAGTTTGGTCATTTCCACTTTCTTTTTTACATAAGATAAACAAAAATCTGGATAACCATTAATTTAAAGAAACTTCTGCCTAGAATTCAGCTGTGAAGGAAGTGTCTAACATTCTTTCCTCCCTACCTGTGTTAGTCATGGTTCCCTTAGGAAACAGACCACTCACTCAGATTCATATAAGCTGAGGAATGGTCCAGATACCTCACTAGGTCCAAAAGTATGAAGGGAAGAGTGTCTACTGGGGAATTGTGTTGAAGGCCACCTGGATAGGCACAGTAGCCCTTGGTCAAGGGCACAGCCAGACCAGTGTCCCTTAATAAGTGTCCTGTCCTCACTCTTCTCCCTCCATTCCTCCAGTGTCCTTCTCCTAGGCATTGAGTTAAGTGTAAGGGATGCAACATGGAATAAGATTATAACAGTTGCTGTGGGCTTGACTCCAACTCATGGTGACCCCATGTATGTCAAAGAAGAACTGTGCTCCATAAGGTTTTCAATGGCTGATTTTTGCAAGTAGATCATCAGGCCTTTTTTCCAAGATGCTTCTGGGTAGACTTGAACTGCCAACCTTTTGGTTAGCAGTCACTCAGGAAATCTGGAATAAGATATAAGGAACCCATATTTAGAAGCGGAGACAAGGACATAGAAAAGAATACTGCACAGTCTCCCCACTGGAGGGGCTAGGAGCTTATCCCAGAGATGTTCCTGAAAGCTGTAAAACCTGAGCTGAGACTGGAAGATGGCTGGTAGATGCAGAGGCCAGCATGGGCCACTTGGTACAGGCTGGACAGCACTGTATTTGGCTGGAGTAGAGAGCCTATTGGTGGGCAGAACCCAAGAGGGGCTGCCAGACAGGCAGGGCCATGATCCCAGCTCATCCAGAGAGAGTCAGGGCCGTGCAGAGTGTTCCCAGGAAACGTGAGCTTTAGGTTTGCATTTTGGAGAGATTGCTTCGGTGGAATGAGCACAAGGGCCCAAGGCCAGTGATATCAAGGCAGGAGAGGGACCCGGAAGCCTGAACTCAGGTAGTGCTATGCAGAGATGGCGAGGAGGTGGTGAGCTAAGGAAACAGCCAGTGAGGAAGTGAAACAGGGCTGATGTTTGGTGGGACATAGAATGAGGGAGGGGCAGTCACAGAGGTCGCCCAGGTAGATGGTAGGCTGCTCACTGGGACAGAACAGAGAGGGCCCAGCCTCTGGGGTTCTGGGAGGCCATGCAATCTGGGCAGTTGCTCTCAGACTTCTGTCCAGAGTGGTGCTTCACGTTTTGCAATACCCTGGACCTCTCCCCCCACCGCCATCCCCCGTACACTGTGTGAGCGGTGGCCTCTCAGCCCTCTCTCAGAATGGGGTTCCCATCCCTGGTACTGCAGATTTCCACATGCTGGAACTCACACAATAGATGCTCAAGTGCAGCCCGTTTCCTATAGAAAATGCCATCTGCAGACACAGTGTGTTCTGAGAAAGGGCAGACAGGCAGGGCACTAGGAGCTAAGCGCTGCCATTTCTAAAGAGCCTGCAGGTAGCAATTTGCAGGGCATGGTAGGTGTCATCCTTCTTTGTCTTCGGAGATTTTGACTTAAAGGAGGCTAGCTGGATGAGTGGTAAGGCCCCTGGTCTTAACCTGGCTCAACTGGAGTCCAGTTGACTCCAACTCATGGTGACCCCATGAGTGTCAGAGTAGAACTACTTCTCAGAAGTAGATCACCAGGCCTTTCTTCTGAGACGCCTCCAACTTTTTGGCTTATGACCTAGTGTGTCAACTGTTCACACCACCCAGAGACTCCAAGTGGCTCAGACCAAAAGTTGAAGGTCATTCCTTCTGGTGCCAAGTGCAGCTCAAGGGTTCATTCTCTCACTGTGTCTGCATGGAGTCTTCCATGTGCCTGCATGGCCCTGGCCAAGTGGTAAGGCAGGTCTCCAGCATCTTCCTGGGACTCACCCAGGCACGCAGGAGCAGAATCACTGTCTCAGTCCTGGCCACCTGCCTCTTCAGCCATTGTCCTTGCATGGGCTGGTGCACCTGCTGGTGAGGAGTCAATTAGACAGCATTGTGATTGTTAAAAATCTATGTCATGTCAAAGAATGCTTAATGTGACCTGCATTCCTTGCTTTGTTTTGTTTATCTCTAGTTCTTAGTAAGTATGACTAGAACTTTGATTGAGATGATGCATTACCACTTTCGCAGTGAAATCCCATGTTTCTGTGTCTGGCTGTTCCCAGCAATGTCCACGCAACAGAAGTTCTCTCCCATCAACGTCAGGCTGTGTGGAGCAGTGCTTTTTCATGGAACATCTTGTATGTGCTGGTCTCTCAATGTTTAGATGGCAATGAGGTTTTCAGTCTTCAACTTCTTCTTAAGGCAAAACCTGGCTCTGTTGGGGTTACCCAAGAGGCCACAAACCTGGTGCTCATTGGTGTGGTGCTGTTCTATGATTGCTACAGGGGGAAGGCCAGCCATGGGGGCCATCACAGGCTTGCAGGAAAAGCTTTCCCACAGCAAACATTTATCATTTAGCTTCTCTTCTTCACCAAATATATACACATTATTCCAGCTGTAAAGAACAGGAGTGTGTTTGAAGTTTTGAGATGGCATTGCCTCCTCATGCTGGGTCACCAGGGTCTGGATTGACTTTGGCCATGAGGGCTGGAGTAGCAGGAAGTGCCTTTTCCAGAAAAACCCTGTGGCCACCTCTGACTGCATCTCCCCAAACCAGCTCTGCTCCAGGGTTAGTGGGCACAGTGGCAGGAATTGGTGGGGAAAGACCTGCAAAGGCCCTCAGTGAGCTGCTTAGAGCACAGAGAGGGTGTTTGGGCCATGGGGGTGTATGAGTGCCTGTGGGAAAGAGGGGTGAAGGAGGGGCTTCCTGGAAGGCAGGCCTTCAGCTGCACTGCCTGGTATAGGTCTGCTCGAGCCCCTGCTCTCATTCCCGAAGCCCAGGGTTGCCTCCCCTGTGAGCTGTGTGCCAGGCTTCCAGGATCATGCCCACCTTGTTCACCATAGGTCCTAGTGCAGCCACCTGGCCACCATGGGCAAGGACAGAGCTGTCCCAGTGGGGCAAGGGTACAAGTCTGCAAACCAGTGGCTTAGACTTGGAAATCCTTCCGAATCTGAGTCATAATGAAACAGAATCCATAAAATTTCCTCATGGAAGTTACTACATTTCAAATTAAATATGTTAATATTTCTAGCAACTTTATGACTCTTTATAATAAGGTAAAGAGGTGTAGAAAATGTTGCTGAAACCAGTGCCACCCTATTTTCTAGAGAAATGTTCTCATTCTGTGACAACACGGGATTCTCTGCTGCAGTCACAGTTCTCCTTGAGCCACAGTAGATGCATAAGATCACCCTCCCAAGGGCTCCTCAGTGGCTTTCCAGACTCAGTCCAGCTGCCCCAGGTCTGCCCTCCTGTGGTCAGTTCTACGATAAAAACAGCCCAGGGACAAAGTAAACAGACATCAGGCTTCCAGATGCTTCTGCATGTCCACTTGGTAGCACACATCAGCAGCTTCCTCTCAGCTCTTGTAGAGATCCCCTGAGACAAGCCCCAACTCCTAGAGCTCCCTGTCCCACCTCACTCCCAGGCCCCCTCTTCCCACTGCCTTCCCAGGCAGTATGATTTAGATGTGAGGCAGGCATACACACACAATGACCCCTGCCCACTGTCCTTTGACAGCATCCATGAAAATGGGAAGAAGGCTGGACTTTATAAGGAAAATCTGTTGCTGCGAGGATGCACCATCAGAAACACCGAGGCAGTTGTTGGCATAGTCATCTATGCAGGTAGGCATGGTGTGGGAGTGAGGCACTGTGTTGTGTTTTAATGATTTGTTGGCCTGCCTTGTTAGTCACTATGTTCCTGAACATTTTTCCGTAGTTGTTTCTTTCAGACTGCATACCCATTATAAAAAATACACACACACATATATATATCCACTCTAGAAAGATATGTATATATATAAATGCATATATATGCATACTACACACACACCCATTGTAGAAATATATATATATACACATATATACCATTGTAGAAATACATGCACATATATATACTACTGTTACCATTGAGTTGATTCCAACTCATAGCGACCCGATACAACAGAGTAGAACTGCCTCACAGGGTTTCCAAGGAGCAGCTTGTTGATTCAAACTGCCAACCTTTTGGTTAGCAGCTGAGTTCTTAACCACTACGCCACCGGGGCTCCATATATACATACATTTATATATATAGTTCGACAATGGTATATACATGTATATGTATATACACTCATTGTAGAAAATTTGCAAAATCATGAAAATGTAAAGAAATGAAAGATAAAATTCTTGTGATAATACCTCACCCAGAAGTGTTCTCTCTTAGCATTTCAGCATATTTCTTTCTATTCATTTCTCCATGGTGTTTACATATTTAAGATGAATTTTATACCCTGCTTTCTCTGCTGAGCTTATCACGTAAGTGTGATTTGATGGTAGCACGTGCTTCCTTCTGCAGAATCAGTAGTAACTCATCACTTGACTGTTGGGCATTTGTTCACAACTCATTTCACCCTCTGGACAGGACACGAAACCAAGGCTCTGCTCAACAACAATGGGCCCCGCTATAAGCGTAGCCAGCTGGAGCGACAGATGAACTGTGATGTCCTCTGGTGCGTCCTCATCCTTGTCTGCATGTCTCTGTTCTCAGCTGTCGGTAAGTCCTCCAGGCTGAGGAGCAAGTCCATGGGCGGGCTCTGCTGCATGCCTTGCAGGAGAGGGCTGCTGGGTTGGCAATGGTTGTCCTGATCCACTACTCTAGAAGTCAAACGTTTCTCATGGACATGACCCCAAGGGAGGTTGGCATGAGCAGGAGATGCCCAGAAGAAAGGTCTCAGCAGAGTAACGTCATCTTTCTAACTGGCAAATTTTTGGATGGCGGAGTGCGTAATTGCACCAGTAGTAATGATTCCATACAAGAAGTGCCAGTGAACTGGCCATGAACTAGGAGTAATAGCAGGAGAAGCACAAAGTGCTACTAACAAGAACCCCATGAAAAGAGGAAAAATCATTAGGATACTAAGAAGGGGCGAGCACTTATGTCGTGTGTAGGCATTGGTGCTCCACAGACTTTGCTGCCCCCAGAGCGGCCGTGATACCTTGGAAGCAAGCGTGCAATGCCCCAGTAATACCCACAGTACGTCACCCACCCAACTGCAGTCAAGTGCAAGGTGCTGCCCCGTGGTATGTGATGTGGTGTCAGAGCTCATTGGCCAAAAAAGGACACCCCCTGGGTTTGAGAAGGTCCTTCTTATCCAATAGATGTGGGGTCCGGCAGACAGCCTCCAGTGTATCTCCAAGAAAGGACACTAGTAGGCAGGGTCAGCACCTCCTGGCCATCTTTTTACCAAGCATCTCCTGAGACTGGTGTTTTCTGAGACACATGCTGGAACAGTCCCTTCTGTGGGTTCATGTGCCAGCTGCCTACTTAGCCCACATACACACGTGTTCTCACCAGTGGTACAAGTTGGTTCCAACAACGGGAAACCACTGTGAGGAAGGAGCCAAGTCTCAGCTCCTTCCTGCAATGTGATATTGGATGCCAAGAGTCCTGGTATTTTTGCTTTCTTATGTGGCAAGGCAGGCTAAGAAAACCACATGTGCTCACATCAAGGAAGTCATCTTAAGGTTTTGTGGTAATTTACACCAGCAGTGTTCTTAGTTTTCTGCTGGACGAATGACATTTCTCTTTAAACGTTACTACAGGACATGGACTTTGGATGTGGCGGTATCAAGAGAAGAAATCCTTGTTTGATGTCCCTGAGTCTGATGGCAGCTCTTTGTCCCCAGTCATAGCCGCGGTTTACTCATTTTTGACAATGATAATAGTTCTGCAGGTAACAGTCCTAAGTGCATACAGTAAGTGCTTTACTTTTCTGAAGAGAACTTGAAGGCATCATATTCTGCTAAGAAATTCCTCTAAGTTCTGCATCTGGGAGGATCATAAATACATTTGCCTAAAATGTTACCCTTCATTTTTGCTCCTAATTTATCAACAGGCTTTTTTCTCGGGTGATTTTCAAGTAAAAGTTTTCCTTTGCTGTTCTTAGAATTCGTATGTCTTTGAGGGTTGGGTTTTGATCATCATTTTTGTTTGGTTTTGTTGTTTCTTCATTCAATTACTTTTTTAAAACATAAATGTTATTTTGGAAGAGTCTTAGATTTACAGAAAAGTTGCTACAGAGAGTTCCCATACGCCCTTCACCCAGCTTCTCCTGGAGTTGACATCTTAAGGTACAGGGATGTTGTCAAAACTAAGGAACTGACGTGGGTGCATTGCTGTGAACAAAGCTCCAAACTGCAGTTGAGTTTCACTAATCTGTCTATTGTGCTTTTTTGTTCCAGATTCAGTTAAGGATATCACATTGCATTTAGCTGCCACTGATGTTATTATTATTGTTATTATTATTACTATTCATTCACGTGCTTCCTCAACAATGCCTAGTCATTAACTGAGACTCTATGCCCAGAAAGACCTATTTAGGAGTACACAGGGACCCAGAGCCCTGAAGGGGTGAGAAGGGGTAGTGAGGGTCACCGCCATCCTTCTTGGGAACAAAAAGGGTATCAAACAGAGGACATTTTCCCAGGCTTTGCCTAAGAAGGAAGCTCTACTCTGTCTAATCTTATGTGCTTCATATGATAGAACTATATATGCAGATTTTTTTCTAGCCTTGAGTTGGTACTATTCCAGGTATTTCCTTAACACCTGTAAGTTACCAGAGAATCCAGAGAATGTGGTTATTTGGGGTATGATGTTCTGAACCCGTACCCATCACTTCAATACTATTACTCTTAAAAAAAAAAATTTAAACATTACTTTTGTGGAATCAAATTATCAAGGCATAACTATACGTATTTTTCTCAAAACCTTCTTCCCTTTGATCTGTATTATACAAGATCCCAGAAATTGCCCTTCAAAACACAGCCAGCATCAGAAAGGTTGTCTTTCTGTGTGCGGCTGCTTCGTGAACTTTGGGGTATGTCAGAGGGGGATGCAGCAACTTCCTGTTGTGGATAGCACAGAGAAAGCCTGGGGGCCCAGTGCCACCATGGTGCGAGGTGACTATGCTTATGAGAACTCTGACTGTACACTGTGTGTTTTCTCCTTTCTTTCTTTCCTTTCCTAGCTTCTCTCAAGTACAACTTAGTAATACAGAAGCGCTTGCTTCTCTCCAAGCTATCACCTCCAGACAGAGTGGAGTCCGCTCTGCAGCATCACCGTAGGCTGTCCTTGCTTAACCTCTTTGCCAGTACTCTAGTACTTTCCCACTGTTGACTCTAAACCAAACTATTTAAGCTCTTAAAGGTACAGTACAGTCTCTGCTTATTTGTGGTTGTAGTAATTTGCTATTTAACTAGATTGGACTAATTCTGAAGCTCCCCGATCCACATGGTAATTCATGTCTGTGTGCCTTTGTCTTATAGGTTTTGATCCCAATTTCCTTATATGTTTCCATTGAAATTGTCAAAGTATGTCAAGTGTACTTTATTAACCAGGATGTACAGCTGTATGACGAAGAGACTGACTCACAGCTGCAGTGTCGTGCCCTGAACATCACGGAAGACTTAGGGCAGATACAGTATATTTTCTCAGATAAAACGGGCACATTAACTGAGAATAAGATGGTTTTCCGAAGATGCACTGTGTCTGGAATAGAATATTCTCATGATGCAAATGGTGAGTCTGAGCATGTGGGCGGTGTTTCCATGCTGGCCTGGACGAGAAAGCTGCTGTATTCAGATCTGCATGCACACCCACACACACCCCCATATCACACATACCACAAACATACACACACACCACGCACATCATACACACATGTACACAACACAGCACACACATACATACACATACCCCACACACCATTGCATACCCCACACACCATACACATATCACACACACACCCAACACACACATTGCATACACGCACATCACACATACGCACACCACCACACACACACAGAACACACACACACACTACCGTCACCACACACATCACACACACACACATAGTCTCCCAGGGGTTACTGATTTTCGAGGGAGAATAAGCATAGATGTAGCCGTTAAAGTGACTCTGGAGTCTCAGGTGAGGCCCCCTTGTCAGAATCACTGCGGTGTTTGGGGTGATGAGAATCAGTGTAAACACATGTTTTCTACCAAACAAATGCAGCACCCAAACTGGACCCCCTTGGGGAGCTCACTTGTGAAGCTCCAGATTGCTTCCCTGCCACATCTAGAGGCAAAGAGATGTTTCTGCTGTCCCCCATCTGTCCTCTTGTTACCAGCTGAAAGTTCTTGGAAGGGTGTTGGGCAGTTCATGGCGCAGTCTTTTCCTTGGACACACCATCTGTGGGAGCTAGAAATGACCCCTCAGACACCAGCCCCCACACCCCCGCCCCGGTGCCTGTGCTGCCTCTTTGAATCTTAGGGACCCTCAGCTTCATAAGCTTTGGTGTGACCGGAGCCAGCACCCAGAGCCAGGAGCAGTGCTGTGATAAGGGCCCTGTGCCACAGAGCACCTCCAGAGGAACACCCGGCTGTATAACCAGGGTCACTCTCCTTCCTGCAGCAGCATCTGAGAACCCCAAAGAAACCACACCAGGGAAACAGAAACAAGTCTAAAATGGGGGACAGGGGAAGGGTTAACAGGAAGCTGTTATTTAGAAAGACTTGGCAAGAAGAACCTATTGGAAATGAGAGTGGTGTGAGTTGTATAAAAACAAAGATTATCATGACATCCGTTAACTTCCTCCTTATAAAATTAAAACAATCATATTAAACAAGGCATAGGAACTTGTGCACTTTGTTTAACATTTTATTTCCGACTCCACCCAGTCCCCCTCCCTCTCCTCCTCTTCCTCTCCATGTCCTTCCCCTCTCCCTCCCTCTTCTCTCTGTTTCTTCTCCCCTCTCTCACTCCCTCTTTCCCCTCTCTGGTGGGATATAGGGGGGTAGTTTCTGCTGCTGGAACTGGAAGTTCCTGAGTTGGAATCCTGGTTTAGCAGGTGCTCGGCTTTGTGAGCACAAGCGGGTGACTTCCCCTTCCTTAGCCCCATTTTTCTCCTCTCTAAAGAAATGTGTGTTGAGAGGTGATGAATTGGAAGGCCTGGACCACAGAGTAGGGCTGCAGAAACACTGTTTGCATGACAGACCCCATTATGGTATTTCTTGGATCCTGAACCCCCTGCTGCCCCTTTCATACCCTGTATCATGACACAATGCTCCTGCCCACGCTGGGCCTGCCATAGAGCTTCTTAGGAAAGACTTACTGGCAGCGAGGGAGCCTCATGAGTAGTCTCGTGGCTGCTCACCTGTGATGAACAAATTGTCTTAATTGGGCAAAGCCAGAAAAACTTGCCCAGAGCCATCCCTGAATGGGCCCAGCAGTGCCCACACACCTGTCCTCATGGTGTACTGGGCACTCACCATGGTGGCGGGAACTGTGCTTAGCAGCACTACCAGGGGCCCTGTTATGGATTCAATTGTGTCCCCCAAAAAGGGAGCCCTAAGTGCTAACCTGGTACATGTGACCTCGTTTGGCAGTAGGGACTTTGTAGATGTTATCAGTTGAGTTAATATGAGATCAAACTGCGGTAGAGTGGTCCTAATCCTGTCCAAGTGTGTCCGTATAAAAGAGGCGAACACAGACACACGTAGGGAAGATAGCCCTGTGATGATGAAAGCAGAGATGGAGCTGGGCTGCAGCTACAAGCCAAGGGTGCCCAGGGCTACCAGAACTGAGAGAGACAATGAAGGATCTTCCCCTAGAGCCTGCAGAGAGAGGGCATGGCCTTGCAAATGTGCTGAATTTGGGCTTCTGGCCTCAAGAACTGTGAAAGAATGAATTTGTCATTATAAGCCACCTGCATGTGGCATTTTGTTACAGCAGCCCTTGGGGACTAATGCAAGTGCAGAGCTTCTTAGGGGGCTTCACTTGCTGGTCAGACCCTGGCTCCAGCCCTGGCTCCTTCCTGTTCCTTACTGCCTCATCCGTGGGAGGGACGGGGCCACGTGCAAGTGGTGCCTTCCACCCCAGCACAGGTGTTGTGCCAGGTACTCTCATAGAGTGAGGGCAGTCTTTCGGTGGAGACCCCTTATTTCTCCCTACTGGAAGGGAGACGCACAGCATCTCTGGGATAGAGGACAGAGCCTTGAGCCTCTGCAGTCTGTCCTGCCTTCCTTCAGCTGTCTGTCTGCCTGATCCATGTGTCCCAAGGCCCTAAGTGAACAGAAGGGTCTGTCTGTGAGAGCCCATCTCTGCCCATACCTGCTTGCCCATCTGACAGGTGGGGTGGCCACAGTGGCCTCATGGACAGGACCCGGGATCTGGCATCCACAGCCTGGGTGCCACCTTCCTCTGCCCCCCCACCCCGGTCATGTGACTGTAGGAAGTTCCTTACGTTCATTCTCTGTGAAACGGGGCTGTAAGAGGGTGCAGTTAGATGAGAATGTCCCGGTCCTTCAGGTGGTGGAAGCTCTTGTGAAACAAGGCTTAGTGACTAGGTTCAGATGTGGTGACTGCACTGGGAGCCTCACCTTATGTCTTACCATGCTCCTCTCCCCACAGCCCGGCGCCTGGCCATGTACCAGGAGGCAGACTCAGAGGACGAGGAGGCGGCACCCCGAGGCACCTCGCTGTCCCCAAGAGGCAGCATTGGGAGCCACCAGAGCGTCCGGGTCCCGCACAGGGGCCAGAGTACCCGGTCACACCGGCGCACAGGCAGCTGGGCCGAGGCCAAGAGGGCCAGTGTGCTGTCCAGACACACGGCCTTCAGCAGCCCCATGGTGAGTGATGTGGCCTGGGGCCAGGCAGGACGGCAGCTTGCCTGTGCATGGGTCAGAGCTGGGCCTCATGGCATCCCTTCCCACTGCCATTTCCTTGCTTCATTAGAGGGTCTGTATTTTACAATGAAAAGGAGATGTGGCTGGGCGGCGGGAGTGGGGGAGCTGACTTGCTGGCTATGGTTCAGTCAGCAGCAGTTTTTTCTGGCCAGAACCTTCTCCCCACAATTATGCCTTTTCCAAAACACTGGCCAAGGTTTCTAAGGGTGGTGGCTGCCAGTGAGCCACCCAGAAAGAGTGAGAGAGAAAGCCCATCCTGCCAAATACATGGATGAAACCTCAGAACAAGGTGGTGTGGTGAGAAAGAGAGCCAAACAACAAAAACATGTCTTAATTAGGTGAGCCCCATCCAATAACCCTCAGTTCTTCCTGGCTTTGGCAGCAGCCCAAACACTACGGATATTTCTGGAAGTGAGTGATGATCTCTAAGAAATCCTTTTGGTTCTAAAATGTTTTAACAGCAGATGGGTAGAATCCATTTTACTATGTGGTGGGTCGTCGTTCTTCTAAACCCATATAGAAGCTGCCATTTAAACAGAGGTGATCTGGAATCCCGGGTGCTGCTCCGCGGGTATGTACGGGGCACCAGGAGGGGGCGCTCACACTGGGCAAGAGGGAGGCTGTATTGGGACAGTTTTCCTGGCAGCAGTTTAGCAATGTGGGTCAAGAGTATTGGAAACGTTCAAACTCTGACCTAGGAACTCAGTGATTCAGTCAAAGATTTATGTGCGAAGAAGTTTATCTGTGTGTTGTTTATGGCAGCTAAACAATGAAAGAAAAAAAATATCCAGTGATAAAGGAAAGGCCAGATGAATTATGTTACTTCCATTTTAAAAGGCGTGTTTTCAAATAATTTTTTAAGACATAGAGAAAATGGAAACTACCAATCTGTAAAAAATATTTTGACTATGTAAAATTTAAATGTATTGAAAAAAGACTGGAAGGAAACACAGAAACATGTTTTTCAAAAAATAGTTATTAGTGTGTGGTGGTGCGATACAGATTGGTTAACTTTTCCATATTCTTCTGTGACTTTTGCAAATTTTTCTAGCAAATGAGACATTATTTTATGATAATATTCTATTCTTAGATGCCTTATTTTATAAGAACATGTTTATTATTTGTGTGTTATCTTTATAATAAGAATATATACATTTCTCTTCACACATGTTATATACTGTTATACAATTAAAATTACATAAATTTAAAATTATAAAATGACATGTCACATTTGTACTTGTATGTGTGAAAGCCTGTGTATGCCGTAAAGTCAAGTCAAGCACCAAGAAGGTTGGTGGGTCCCTGGGTCAGACTCACCCTGGACCTCCATTTTCTTGCAGGAGAAAGACATCACACCTGACCCCAAGCTCTTTGAGAAGGTGAGCGAGTGTGACCGGTACCTGGCTGCTGCAAGGCACCAGGAGCACCCCCTGGCCCACCTTTCGCCCGAACTCTCCGACGTGTTCGACTTCTTCATTGCCCTCACCATCTGCAACACGGTGGTTGTCACATCGCCCGATCAGCCACGACAGAAGGCAAGTGCCGAGCAGCATCTCCACCACCCTTGCCTTCCTGACCCTCACCACCCCTTGGTCAGCCTTCCTGGGGCGAGCTCCTGTGCCTACATGCAGGACCCCACTCAGCATGGCCTCTGGGGAGCTTAACATGGGACAAAACAGTGCCATTGTCCAGGGGTGTTATAATAGGCTGCAGGAGGACTGGGGGCCAAAGCTGGGGCCAAATAGGGGAGAACAGATAGGCGTGGCCACCCTCTAGGGCTGGGATGAGGGGTGTGGAGCAGGGGAATGCAGGAGCCTTGGGAGGCCATGGCTGCCTTGATGCATCCTCATGGCCTGGCCTCTGCACACACAACTGTCCCGAAACTGCTGGGTCTCAGACTCACAGGAGCAAGGACAGGACGAGGGCTAGCAGCCCGGACTCAGAGACTTGAGTCCTGACTCTCCTGCTGACCAGCTGGATGACTCCAGGCAGAATCCCCCTCCCTGTGCCTCAGTCTCCCAGTCTGTGCCATGGGCTGTGTGGGGAGAACTTGTGGAACAGGCTCAGCTCGGAGTATGGCACATAGTGCGTTTGATGCTGTTAACAGTACCAATGCTGGCATTCAAGGCAAAGGGACTGACAATCTGAGTTTACTTACGGCAGTAGAAACATACTAATTCCTCCTCATTGGGACCCATGTGTGTCAGAGTAGAGCTATGTTCCATAGGTTTTCAACACCGGGTGGTGCAAATGGTTGGCTCTAACCAAACGGTTGGAGGTTTGAATCCACCAGAGTTACCTTGGAAGAAAGGCCTGGTGATCTACTTCTTAAAAATCAGCTGTTGAAAACCTCTGGAACACAGTTCTACTCTGACACACGTGGCTCCCCATGAGTAGTAATTGACACGATGGCGATTGGTTTTTATCACAGAAGTTTTAGAGAAAAAGTGTGCAGAAATTACTAACAGCTCCCATTTACCGCTCCCTCTGCACACTGCCTAACCTTTTTCTAAGTGGAGCCGAGAAGCCACAGACAGTCTCAGGAAGGAGTGCTGGCTTTGGCTGCCATGTTCAGGGCGGCACCAGGGCGTCTGTGCTGGCGCCCCCACCAGGACATTGAGACCCAGCCCTTGGTGCCGGCAGCACCCATAAGAGACACAGTGGGGCCCCACGGCACACTACGCCTACCATATCTACCCTCTGACTGACTCTTCCAGGTGAGGGTGCGGTTCGAGCTCAAGTCCCCCGTGAAGACCATCGAGGACTTCCTCCGCAGGTTCACGCCCAGCCGCCTAGCCTTGAGCTGCAGCAGTATCGGGAGTCTGGCCACCAGCAGGTCGTCCCACAAGTCCGGTTCCAGCTTCCTGTCCTCCCTGTCCAACGACAGCACGCTGCTCCAGCTGGAGGAGCGGCTGGGCCCGCGCGCGCCCGCTGTCACTGACAATGGCTTCCGCGGCCAGGCAGCGGCGGGCTGGGCGCTTAGCGGCCGGGAGGAGCGTGAGCTGCGCTATGAGGCCGAAAGCCCAGACGAGGCGGCGCTGGTGTACGCGGCGCGCGCCTACAACTGCGCGCTTGTGGACCGCCTGCATGACCAGGTGTCGGTGGAGCTGCCGCACCTGGGCAGGCTCACCTTTGAGCTGCTGCACACGCTAGGCTTCGACTCCATCCGCAAGAGGATGTCGGTTGTCATCCGGCATCCTCTCACCGAGGAGATCTACGTCTACACTAAGGGTGCCGACTCTGCCGTCATGGACCTCCTGCTGCCCTGCACCTCAGGTACCTCTTCACCAGCCCGCACCAGTGCTTTCCGACCGGGTAAGGGGCAGTCAACACCCACTCACAATGGGTTTCTTTTGGGTTTGGAACGTGCCTAGAGGCACCTCGGAAGGAAGGCCTGGGGATCTACTTCCAAAACAAATCAGCCATTGAAAACCCTGACACACGGGGGTCACCATGTGTCAGAACAGACTGGAGGGCGACTGGAAGGCCCTCTCATCATCATTTTCTGAGGCAGAATCTGGCAGAGTGTTGCCTGTCTTTTCAGCATCACAGTTTACTCTTTTGAAGGGTTTGACTAGAAAACACGGGTGGGGCCTAGACCAACCATAGTGCGCTGCCGCAGCTGGAGGAGTGGCTGGGCCCCCACCCACCCGCTGTCACCACAATGGCTTGAACGACAGGGTTGGAATCACTGTGGGGATGAAGCATAGCACATCAACAATGAAGGTTAAGTAATTCTGACCAGAAGTTCTGGAGGATTCCTTCCTGCCCTGTGATTTCTTGGACCTGAAGGCAACTTTGAGGCCCAGGCCCTGACTTTTAGCCTGTTGGTAGCACTGCCTCAGGCCACAGTGAGGATCTGGGGGGATGTGAAGTTGGGTCTGCTGGCCTCCCTCCCACCGTCTGCTCTGGCTCCAGGCAGAGTAGCTCCACATAGGTCTCTTCTATGTACCAGAGGTCTGTGTAACGTGGGGCTTAAAATACAGGAGTTTGAAACCACCGATTGCAGTGGGTGGAACTTGAGCCTCCCGAAGGGCCGGCATCTTGTTCCAGCTACAAATGCCTTTGGGAGGGAAGGGCTCACCTCCATGGGCCTGCACTCATTAAATGAACCTGGTACCCCTCTACCTCCTTACTGGGAGGTTGGGAGGACTGCACATCCCACCTCTGGGGGAGAGAAGTGGGAAGGGAGATGAGGAAGGCCTTGACAGATGGGTGGTGGGCCTCCTGGGCTCCAGCTGCCCAGCACCGCCAGCGTGGCCAGGCAAGCAGCTGTCCAGTTTGCCATATCCTGGCAATAGCGCAACCCTCTGTGAGAATCCATGTACTGTGTAGGCCCTTCCTGAGCTCTGGGACAGAGTGAGGGAGTAACACCTGTCCTTGAAGCCCATAATCTCAGGTGCTAAAGGAAAGGACTCCCAGCACACTCAGACGTGAGAAAGGTCATTGAGGATATTTGCGAACAGGCAGTCCATTTCCCCATCGCAGGACTGCTACCTCCAAAAGGCAGCTGAGCTAAATTTGCAAATGTATCTCTGAAAATAGTTTGGAAGCTCTTTCCTAGTGCTAACCTAGCAGAGGGCAGGATTTTCCCTTTCATGTCCACTGCAGTGCCTCCCAGAGTGAACACAGAACCCAGTTAAAGGGCCGATTCTGCATTCTAAGAGGCTTTACTCTGAAATTCGATTTTTGTTTACATCCATACGAAAAAAAATTATGGAAATTATCCCAGTAGGTTCCATTCTATTGCAAAGAATTCCAGTTGTCCTAAGCCACCAAAAAAAAAAAAAACGGGTTGCCATCAAGTCGACTCTGACTCATGGCACCACCGTGTGTGTCAGAGTAGAACTGTGCTCTGTAGTGTTTAAAGTGGCTGATTTTTCAGAAGTAGATAGCCAGGACTTTCTTAGAAAGCCCCTGTGGATGGACTTGAACCTCCAGCCTGTCAGTTAGCAGCCAAGCTCCTTAAGCTTTTGTACCACCCAGAGACTCAGTTGTAGCCTGCAGCTCGGCAGTACACACAGTGTGATGGACTCCCGTGTTTCAGGCCTTACCGCATACCACAGGCACCCGTGAGGTAAAGGGCCCAGACCAGTTCTGCATGCAAGGTCAAGGAGGGGGCAAAAGGAGACCCCCCTCCCACTGCAGAGGAAACAGAAGCAACCAGGGGAACTGTGACAACTGATGACACTTTTATTTTGCTCAACAATGCATTTTTTTAATGAACAAAAAAAATCAAACTCATAGACAAAAACCAAACAAGAGTCTTATCAAAACTCTCACCAATACCATTACTTCTTAAAGAAAAATATTTTAGCATGCCCCTCCCACCCTACCCCTTAATACCAGGACATCCCAGAATAATGAATGCCTTTAAATTGAATAAATGTAGTTTTATGAACTGCTCACTGTACTGTCCCTGCTTTCCTCACAATATACCAGAGTGGTAAGAACATTATGGCAGCCTGTACCTGTTCCTCACTGCTCAGGGGCAGAGGGGCCATGGCAGAGGGAGGGGACAGTAAGTGACAGTCTAGCCCTTAGGGAGCACCCCTCCCCCAGACTTCTCTTGTGTAATGTCTGCAAGGCAGGGAGACCGCTCATGGGGTTACTAGAGCCTGTGGGCACTGTGGGAAGGGAGCAGCACCCCCTCCCCTTTTCTGACTAACAGTCAACCCCATGGTCGGGGTGGGGTCCCAGTGCGGGCTTGCAGCCCTGCAGCCTCCCCACCTGCCCTACACCTCTACCTAGGGTAGCCTTGCTATTGTGCCAGCATCCTGTGCTCACCATCCAGCTGGAATTGGGGGTCCCTCGGAGAAACTCAGAGCCCTGGTGGCGCAGTGGTTAAGCATCGGGCTGCTAACCAAAAGGTCAGCAGTCCAAATCTGCCAGCCGCTCCTTGGAAACCCTATGGGGCAGTTCTCCTCTGTCCTGCAGGGTCGCTATGAGTTGGAATTGACTCGATGGCAACGGGCTTGGTTTGGGAGAAACTAAACACCAGTATGGAGGTTGCTGCAAATAAGGCAAAGCAGGGCCTGAAATCCGCTGCAAGTAAGAGATGAGTGGGAGGAGGACACTGCTCTAGCTCTTACATTATTAAAGCCGTGACGTTGATGGGGACAGATTAGAAATAAGCTGTTTATTTCTGTCTCCCCTTCCTCTGGGAATTCTCTAGCAGTGTGTGAAGTCGGGTTTTGATAGGGAAGATTGACATTAAAGTTATGTAAACATTGGGCAAGTCGAGATCAGGAGATTCAGAGACCCCAACGGTTTCCCAGACAGAAGCTGTAGAAGGGCCTTGTAGGTCCTGGGATGGTCCTGAAGGCATCCGCCAGTGACACATCCAGAGGGACTCCACAAAGGATACCAGAAACAGCCGAACATACACATTTTGTTGAAGTTCTTTTTTAAATAATGGCTCATTTTCACACTGAATTCTCCGTGGACGTGTGTGCTGTTTGTGAGTGATGAAATAGACTCTGGATAAACTTAGTGACGTGATGTTTCCCAAGTGCCCCTGAGTGGCTGGCTCTGGATTGTCTCTCCAACCTTACTGAAGGTGGTTGAAGTAAAGCACGGCCACCAAGGATGCTGTTGTGAAATTCCTGTTTAATTAATTGCAACAAACTCTGGCCTCACATGCCAGCTTTGCCACCAGCTAGAATGAGGCAGGAAAGTGGGGAGGCCGATTCCTCCCTGGCTCCTAAACACCTCACTTACCCTTCTAACAAGCAGAAATGAATGTGCTTTTTGGCTCTCCCTCAGGGTTGTTGACCCCGGGAAGCAGTGGTTTGGGGAGGCTTTCGACCTTGCCACAAGCCAGCCTGTGGGGAGGCTCCAAGGTCAGCCCCCTCCAGATAGGTAGCCAGCAGCCAGGCAGGCAAACAGAAAAGGATGCAGGTAAGGGGATGCCTGGCAGCTGGCAGCTGATCTCTTCGTCAGCTAAAGGAGACAAAACACTTCTTTGTTTTGTTTCTAAACCAACATTTGAAGCAACTAAATCAGATTAGAATTTTTATCCCAATACTTTGTATTTTTGCATTACATGGCACCAAGTTCACACTGGATTCCTGCTGTTTTGAGTATCTCTCATTTCAATGTAGCAGTTCCAGGGTTTTGTATTTAAAGCCCGAAACCACAGGGACACCTTCTATGTCCTCTCTGTGTCTCACTCAGCTTACTCACTTCAGCTTGTCAGAGTTTCCTGCTACCCTCACTGTGACTTTGTTTTTGTTATTGTTACAAAGCTGCTTCTGGTGATAAATAGGATGGTCCACACCTCTGCTTTTTCCCTCAGAAACTTTATATTTTGATATTTCACTTAGGTCTGACTTGCTTTTAAGAGCCTCCTTTTCAGCTTATGATGATGAAATATTGTAGCAATTACAATATTTTCAAATGCTTTGCATAGCTCTGCCCCACTTCCTTCCTGTCCCCTACCTGTCAAACACGAAAACACACACTCACACGTACGCTCACATATACAAACGCCAGCACGTGTACACAAACACATGCAGGATGTGAAGAACACAATTATTTTAGAATAAAATTGTATTTAAAAAAAAAAAAAAAAGCAGACTTCTATAATAACACATTTGAAACTGTGGCATTCTCCATGGGAGCTGGGCGGGACGCAGGGAGGGCAGGACCTCCTGCCCAGCACCTGGGATCGCGCTGCCTGGGAGGCTGCCCAGTGCAGTGGCGCCCAGCTGCCGGTCCAGAGGAAGGAGAGCTGTGCAAACCTCATCTCAGACGAGTTTCTGAAGAAAGCGCTTGCAGAGTCCCCGGCTTCAGAGGCAGCCCGAGGGCGTTCTGCTGGCTCCGTTGTTCTCACTCATCAGTGTTTCTGCTTGTACTCCCACCTAGATGATGCCAGAGGAAGACATCAGAAGAAAATCCAAAGCAGAACTCAGAATTACCTCAACGTGTATGCCGTGGAGGGCCTGCGCACACTGTGCATCGCCAGAAGGGTGAGTGAAGGCTAACGCCTCTGGTGGCTCCTGGGTGGCTGGTCCAGCCTCTGATGGCACTAACCAGGCACTTGTAATAGGTCCTGAGTAAGGAGGAGTATGCCTGCTGGTTACAAAGGCACATGGAAGCAGAGTCTGCCTTGGACAACCGCGAGGAGCTTCTCTTCCAGTCAGCCATCCGCCTAGAGACTAACCTGCACCTTCTGGGTAACTGTGCTTGCCGCTGCATGCTGAGTCTGCACAGATGGCTTGGAGGGGAGGGGGGTTACAGTCAGTGACTGTGATGTCATCACCAGGTGGGTTGAGGAGCCGCCCGGCCTCTATCTGATGTCCCCTCTCCAGGCAGCTTACTCCTGCGGGACTCTGCATGGCCTTGCCGGGTATCACACCAGCGGCTGACCCACCTCCCCTAAGCCTTGCCCAACTGCAGCATCACAGGGAACGCTTTCCTACCAAAAAATGTGGGCGAGGAGAAGACCTCTCAGCTACCAATGGTTTAAAAGAATATTTTCCCCCCTGAAACTATTACCTATTGCTCTTAGAAGTATTTCCCAGATTTCCCTTGGATGAAAAAAATGGGCTAATTTACTAAAATATGTCCATAGTTCCTGTTAATACCTTTTTATCTTTTTAAAAATATTTTTTGTGTTGTTGAGAACATACACAGCAGAGCATACACCAATTCAACAATTTCTACTGTATAATTCAGTGACACTAATATATTCTTCAAGTTGTGCAACCATTCTCACCCTCCTTTTCTGAGTTTTTCCTCCCCATTAACATAAACTCCCTGACCCCTTAGTTTTCTATCTAATCTTTCGAGTTGCTGTTGTCAGTTTGATGCTATATAGATAGATCTTTAAGTGCGCAGTGCTCGAGGCAGACATTCTTTACTAGTTAAGCTAAACTATTGTTTTTAGAAGACTTCAGGGGATATTTATGGTTTAAAGTTTAAAGATTATCTCAGGGCAATAGTTTCAAGGGTTCATTCATCCAACCTTCATGGCTCCAGAAAATATGGAGTCCATGAGAATTTTAAATTCTGTTCTGCATTTCCCCCCTTTTGATCAGGATTCTTCTATAGAATCTTTTATCAAAATGTTCAGTTATGTTAACCTGGCACCATCCAGTTCTTCTGGTCTCATGGCAAAGGGTGCAGTTGTTCATGCAGGCAATTTGCCACACATTCCATTTCCTCCTCCTACTCCTGACTCTTCTTCCTCTTCTGTTGCATTTGTATTTTTTAAAATACAGTTTTGGAGGTACAGCTGAAACTTTGCATAACATGCTCAGTGTGTCCTCACAAGGGGCGAGTTATAACAATTCTATACACGATCTAACCCCCGTCTTGTTTTGCCGTGGGTCATGTGGTACTTACGAGGCACAGAATGGCAGGGAGTTCACCTCCTTCATATGACACAGAAAGGCTGTGATTCATTTGGTCCTATTTCCTGGGCAAAGGAGTTGGGATATTATATAGAGAGACATCATATAGACATATCTAACTTAATACATAATTGAATTTAATTAATATTATTAGTATATAGAATAGTATAATGTAGACCACATGGAGCCCTGGTGGTGCAAGTGGTTAAGCATTTGGCAGTTCAAATCTACCAGCTGCTCCATGAAAACCCTGTGGGGCAGTTCTACTCTGTCCTGTGGGGTTGCTATGAGTTGACATAAACTCAACAGCAATGGTTTTTTTGTTTGTTTGTTTGTTTTAATGTACACACACACACACTTTATGTAATATTCGGTTTTGCCTGAAACGTCTCACAGGAGGCCATGTACTACTCAGAAAGCCCCAGAATGTAGAGGCCCAAGGGTATAAAGAGCAGTATCACTGGGTGTGAATTAATGAAGCACTTCAAACACGTCTGTGCTTCTCTTAGGCTTCCAGCTGTTGTTGAGTCGACTCCAATTCATGGCAACCCCACATGTGTCAGAGTAGAATTGTGTTTCATGGGGTTTTCAGTGGTGATTTTCCAGAAGTAACTCACCATTCCTTTCTTCCAAGGTGCATCTGGGTGGACTCGAACCTCCAAATGTTCAGTTAGCAGCCAAGTGCATTAACCGTTTTTACCACCCAGGGTCTCCTCTTTTGGCGACCAGGCTTTTATTTCTGGAGCTAAGGTTGTCCACATTGATGGGAGTGTGTCCTGCTCCCTGTCCCAGTGCTGGCCTGCCTGTCGCCTCTGTGACCAGCCCCTCTGATCCCTTCACTCCCTGGGGTTCTCCCCCTGGGGTGGCTTTCTTCCTGAACAACTCCAGTTTCTTGAGTGGAGTGAGATCTGCCTCCTGGTACCTGTTCCCCGTGGGTGCTGCCCCACCGTCTGGGGCAACACAGAGGAAATCTCTTCCCCTTTCCACAGGATGAGACTTTAATCGTGAAGACTTGACTGTGAGCCCTCAACTCTGCCTGCTGACAATGTGCATTTCAATCACTTTGACCATTCCTCCTCTAAGCGTCTGAGAGTCCTGGCTCTCTGTTCAGTCTTGATCCTGCCACTCACTGCCCATGAAACCTTGAGCAAGTGGTTCAGTTCTTTTGCATCTGTTTCCTCACCCACTGGGCGGGGATAATAATACTGATGTCAGCAGGTTCTGCAGTGCAGGAGGCCAGCATTCAGCAGAGGGTAGGGAGGGATCTCTGTCACTGCTTCCCTGCCGATTATACCCTGGCTGGCCTCTTCATACAGATGCTCTCTGGTGGTCTAACATGGCATCACCTCCTTTGGCCTGGATGCTGTATTCCTCTTAACATGTCCTAAGTTTTTAGCAGTCCTAGTACTCCTGAGGCTCATACTGAACTTGGGATCAACTCACCCCTCCCCTCCAGGTCTTTTTCACAGGAATAATTTCCTAGCTTGTATTCTGTCATTCTCACTTGGACAACTGCATACACATCTAAAAGCAAGGTTTTATATTATCCCTGTTCTAGTTCTTTCTGTTGGGGTCAGGTCAGTGCCCTGGCTATTGTTCAGAATTCTGATGTAGGCCATTTCCTCTGGGGTTGTATAAGATGGCTCTCAGGTGGGTAAGTTAAGTGACCACTGGATTGTTCCCCAGAGGGTGCCTGCAGTGTGCTGGAGCTGAGCTCATATCCGCTGGCCAGTGCCCACTAATAAATTTTCAGGAGTTTTGCAAGCCTTTTACGCCATGTTGGTAGGTTGAAATCAGCCAAGGTGGGCATAGTTACACCATGGAGATAGTCAAATGCAACAAATCAGCCTCTTCCCCCAAGCCAATTGTTAAACACTGACTATCCCCTACCACCTGGGGTGTCTGTGATTCACATGGCTGAGGCCTGAGCTTGGGAAAACCAGAGCCACTGTATTCCCACAGCCTTATCCATGACAGAGAACTGCTGGGCTCTGTGTTTCTATTCCTCAGCTTCATTTTTGAGAAGAGGGAAGTAAGCTGTTAATATTTTAATATTTCAAAGCCAAATGCCCTTAAAAAAATAAATAAATATAAAAATAATTTTTAAAAAAGCCAAATGCCCATTTCTAAATCTTTTCTCTTAGGTGCTTGTATGAAATAGCCTCAGAGAACCACAAATTAATATCTGCAGCAGAAAGGACTGACATTCACTCTGTGTTCTCAACATTCTCTTTTCCATAATGTTCTGGCCAAGAAGCTAAATTCAAAGGACGACGTTCTGTCTTCCTTACCCAGTGTTCTTGATAATTTGTCTAAATGTCATCTGGAACTCCTCAGTTAGTAGAACCCCCCCCCCCCATTAAAGGTCACCTGGCCTCTGAGCACAGGGGTCCATGATGGTCCTGGCTTGACTCTGAACTCTACTATCTCATTGTGATGCTCAAAAAAGCCCGGTCTCCAAGGATCAGGTCATGAGGAGGGTGGAACTTACTCAAAGTCACATATGTTATATTACAAACAAGCTACCTTAGAAAGCTGAAGAAAGGGCTGTTGCTTCAGATTTGTTGATCCTTGATATGTCGTATATCATTCTGAAACTGATATACTTTCTGTAACCATTTCTAAGTTCATCAGTACCCTGTGCGTGATTCAACCTCACACCATTCTTTGAGTGAGGATCAGTATGGGACACTGGGAGCACTTTGTGTTGGCCCGTAGCCTCCCTGCTTGCCTTCTTGGTCAACAGCTACCAGGTGGCCCTGGCTGAGTGGCCCGAAGTCCCTTCTTCAGGGAACCACAGTCTCATGAAGGGGAGGGTAACTGGTTTTCACTGGACGCTAAGCACTAGAGTTGTAATGGAGGCCGACAAGTATGGCTTAGAGGTTTAGAGCGTGAGCTTTGGAATCAAACCTTCCAGGCATCAAATACTATCTCTTTCTTGCTAACTCCACCTCCCTGACCTTTACTTTCCACATCTGTAAAATGAGGATAAGTGTAGTACTCATGTCTGAAGGAGTATGTTAGTGCCCTAGGGCCACCATAACAAAATCCCGTGTCTCACATTTCTGGAGGCTGGGTGTCAGAATTCAGGGAGACAGCAGTGCCATGTTCTCTCCGAAGGCTCTAGGGGAAGATCTTTTCTTGTCTCCCCCAGCTTCTGGTAGCCCCGGGCATTCCTTGGCTTATAGATGCATCTTCACAGGCCTTCCTTTCTCTGGGTATTTCTCTGTGTCTCTTACCCTCTTTTATAAGGACATCATTCAGATTGGATTAGGATGCACCATACTCCAGTATGACCTCATGCTAACTTAACTGATAACATCTTCACAGACCTTATTTCCAAACAAAGTCATGTGCCCAGGTACAGGGGTTAGAAGTTCAACTTTTTTGAGGGGGGTGGGGGAGGGGGAAACACAATTCGGTCCATAACAGGGAGGTTGTGAAAATTTTTGCCTGGCAAATAGTAATCAATCAAGGTTAGCCACTGTTATTATTCCATAATCATTATTATTGTCACTAAGTGTGAACAAGGTACTGTGAACAGCCAGAGGCAGACATGGTTGTCCCCCCCTCTTTCCTTGGAGATCTGGGAACAGGTCACAGCAGAAGTGGCACTTAGCATGAGCGGAAAGATGTCAACTCTGTAGGATCTAGAAGATAGGGAGCCAGAGACCAGAGCACATACTCCATCCCCCTGCCAGGGCCAGAGGGCTGGGGGAGGGAGAGTGTCAAGGCCAGGTGCCCTCCCGTCTGCCAGGGTGGCCAGGGACATGCTCACAGGCAGCATGGAGCATTTAACGGCTGTATTCCTCAGCAGGTCTGGGCCCCACACCCCAACCTGGTCTCCTGCCAACGGGCACTCAGAGCAGAGGGTAGCTTGGGCAAACCATCCCCTCCTACTTTCTGGGCCCTTTCTAAGTTCCCCCCTAGCTTTCTGGGTGCATTCCCCAGGTGGGACACAGCCTGGGTCTAACATACAGCACCAGCTATAGGAGATGGAAGAGGGAAGAAAGGCCACTTGTCCTGAGGGGGGAGCTGGTGATGTTCTGTCTCTTGAGCTCAGGGCTGGTTACACGGGTGTGTGATTTGCGAAAGTGTATCACACAGAATATTTAAGAACTGCACACTTCTCTACGTGCATTGTACCTTAGGGAAGAGTTAAGAGAAAAAGAAATGATTCTGTCACCCCCCACCCCCACTGCCATCCAGGTTTGTTCCAGGAGAAGAAAGGAAAGGGCGCCCCAGCCCAGGGGCAGCCTGGCATAGAGAAGCAGAGCTGACAAGGAGCCACCCTGGGCTTCTGGAGCCGAGGAGTCAGAGCTCATTCACCCAGCTTTTAAGCAGCCGGGAGCACAGAGGCAGGCCCAGAGAGCACGTTCCTTCATGTCTTCCTCTGGGGAGCAGTGCAAGGGAAAATCCGCCTCTTACCTTTTCTTTTGTGGAAGACGTGTATTCAGAATAACATGGGTGTAAAGCAACCATGGTCCGGTAGCAGTCTGGTTAGATAGCTAATGGTTCACATTGTGGAGAATATGCATTTTGGATTTCATTCACCAGAAGCTTTATATGGGATGGGCAGTTTTTGAAAACACTTTTCACTCAGAATATGATCATTTCCATTGGGTTTTAAAGTTATCTGTAAAATTCTTTGAGCTGCATGGATTGCTAGCGTGTTAGCAGTCGGCCCCTGACTCATGGTGACCCCATGCAAAATGGAACAGAATGCTGTCTGGTCCTGTGCCATCCCCATGATTGGTTGTGGGTCAGACTGTTGTGATACAGAGGGTTTTTACTGGCCAAATTTTTGGAAGTAGATGGCCAAGCCTTTCTTCCTAGTCTGGGTGGTGGCTATGCATGAGGTGCATAGGCCAGGAGTCAAACCTGGGTCTTCTGCATGAAAGGTGAGAATTCTTCCACTGAACCACCACTCCCCCTGATAGGGTATTAGTCAGGAGGAATCCTAGGTACTTTGTTATAAAAACAGAGAAGGGTGCTGAGGGACTCACAGTTATTCCTACATACTCTCAACTGTGTCACATTGAGAGAGGTATCTGTAGTGTCCACTTAAGTCCTGACACAGTGAATCATGAAATGAGGCTTGCTCTCATTGAGTGGGCACTTAGAGGGTAGAGCAGACAGAGGCGGAGGCGGGCCAGGCCTGGGAGTGCTCCACAGGCTGGGGCGTGGTGAGGAGGGGCTCACTCACTCCCTGGTGCACTCAATCAGGTGCCACTGGGATTGAAGACCGCTTGCAAGATGGAGTCCCTGAAACCATTGCAAAATTGCGCCAAGCAGGCCTACAGATTTGGGTCCTCACTGGCGACAAGCAGGAGACAGCCGTCAACATTGCTTATGCCTGCAAACTGCTGGACCAGGACGAGGAGGTCATCACCTTTAACGCTGAGTCCCAGGTATGCGGATTTCGGGGAGATCTTGGGCCAGGAGGCAGGCATTTTGGGCAGCTACTGTGAGCAGGATGGTGGCCTCCACTCTTTCTTTGTACCTGTGTTGAGTTTCTGGATCTTGGATCTGCTTGTCACTGCATTAGAAGGTGAGACCTTTGCGGGCATATCTGAGCTTGAACGGAATGTACACCTGGGCTGTACTGATGCAGAGCTCAACCAGCTTCTCCCTGACATACCACATCCCTCTTAGTCATCACGTCTTCTTAGGCTCCTCTTGGTTGTGATGGTTTCTCAGACTCTCTTGGTTTTTGATGACCTGGATAGATTTGAGGAATACTGATCAAGTATTTTATAGAATGCCCCTATATTATGATGCCTGATGTTTTTCACATGATTAGACTAGGGTGATGGATTTTTGGGGGGAAGACCACAGAGGTAAAGTGCCATTTTCATCACATCTCATCAAGGGTACATACTATCAACATGACTTAGCACTGTTGATGTTGACCTTGATTACCTTACTGAGGTAGTGTCTATCAGGTTTCTCCACTGGAACGTTACTCTTTTTTTTCCTTTCTTTTCATATTGTACTTTTTGGAAGGAAGTCACTTTGTGCAGCTCACACATATGAATTGAGGAATTATATTCCACCTCTCTGAGGGTAGAATATCTACATAAATTATTTGAAATCCATTGAGTTTTGTTTTTGTTATGATTAATACATTTTTTTTCAGTTTTGTTGTTCTTTATATCTTCTTCTTCTTTTTTTCCCCTGAGACTTTCTGTCTTTCTATTCATTTCGAGAATGTTTACCATTACTTCTTGGAACATTTTTATAATGGCTGCTCTGAAGTCTTTGTCATATAATTCTAGTATCTGTGTTATTTTGGCGTTGGTTTCTGTTGATTGTCTTTTCCACGTGAATTGAGATTTTCCTGGTTCATTGTATGCTGAGAAATTTTGGATTGTATCATTGACGTTTTGAATATTATGTTACTACTCTGGGTCTTTTTAAATTCTATGGAGAATATTGATTTTTTTTTAAGCAGGTAATCAATCCTGTTGGGTTCAGATTGGACATTTTGAACAACCTCTGTGATGTTGGTTTCGATGTCAGTTTTGTTATGAAAGCCATTGCTGTGCTATTAAAATCTTCTCACATGTTTGTCACCCTGTGGTCAGTTTCGAACCTGAGTTGTGGTCTACCCCTTAGTTTAATCTGAAAGTCTTTGTTATGCTATTTAAGATTCTGTCCATGCGTGCACAGAATTCATAAAAAACATTATGGTGTTATTGAGCCAAGCCTCTCCTTTTTCACAATCTTTCTGGTACTTTCTAGTTCCCCAAGCCCATCGTTGTCGAGTCAATTCTGACTCATAGCGACCCTATAGTACAGAGTAGAACTCTCCCATAGGGTTTCCAAGGCTGTAAATCTTTATGGGAGCAGACTGCCACATCTTTCTCCCGTGGAGCTGCTGGTGGGTTTTAACTGCCAACCCATCAGTTAGCAGTCAAGCACTTAACTATTACTCCACCAGGGATCCTCTTCTGGTTCTCAGGACTCCCCTTTTTTGTTTTCTCACAAGAAGTTGGGGTTTCAGTTACCTTGCTCCACTTCATACTTTCTGCACCCACACTTGCATCCAGTGTGAAATAGTGGGAGGATAGAGAGAGAAAAAGCAACAGTTACCCTACCCTCTTGGAACCACAGCTTCTCTGAACAAAAGGGAAGGTTCATCTCCTTCAGAGTCTTCGGCAGTAGCCATTCCTGCTGCCACTGCTGTTCCTGCCACTGCCACCATAGCAAAATTGCCTGGAGGTGGTACTCAAGAGAATAGAAAAATTAAAAATAGAAGTTTTTTGCAGTTTCTTTGAGTGTTGGGGGTTCTCCTCTCTGCTCCTCAAGCCCAAACTAGGGGGCTTCTCCTGGAATTCTCTCTGTCCATGCTCTGGCATCCACTCCCAGGACGAGACCAGGAGGTAGGGTAGAAATGGAAAACTCACCTCTGGGTTAGTGGTAGTTAGAATTCTGGTCCTCTTCCCCAGTATGGTGTCTGCTATTTACTTTAGGGTCCTCAAGTATCTGCTCTATGAAGTCTGTCCAGGTTTTGTAGCTGCATTCAGTGAGAGAGACAGGATGGAATATGTTGACTCCATCTTACCCGGAACCGAAACTCAGCCATGGTCTTGTCAATGTTTTGTGCTAGGACCAGGGAGCTCATGGTCCCCAGCACAATAAAACCCTACATTCCCTTTAAGGCCTTCCCTAGTTACTACTCCCTCCCCACCCCCACCCCCCACTCCCCACCCAATCTGGAAGCAAATCTTCCCCTCTCTGTGTCCAGTAGCACTTTTGCATATCCAGTCTCTGACTTGCTGTGGTTATGGGTGTCATTGTCGACTGTCTGCCTGTCTCCCCAGGGGCGGTGACTGTGTCTTCTTGGTCTTCGCTTCTCTAGTCTTGCTCACTTTTCTGCATACAAGAGGCCCTTAATAAGTGATTGTTGAGCACACCTGGGCTTCCATGGTGTGCTGTGGGGACCCCAACCCTAACCTGGTGGGGTTACTGCCCATGGGGGGTTTGCCCCTGAGTACACTGCAGTGTGTTTGTTTCTTAAACACACTCTGTCCTAGAACGGCTGTCCCTCTCATGCCTCTGGTCCCTGACCCTGACTTCTGCTGTGGGTTCCCCTATAGGTTTTCCTGCTCTATTCAGATCCAGTAATGAGTTTTGGAATGACATTTCCAATTAAAAGCCCTAGTAATTATGCTTTTTTTTTTTTTTAACTTCATTTTCCTGGTGGAACTGGAGAGTTTAGGGAGAAAGCTAACTACATGTCTTCAGAGAAGAGTCATAACTACAGTTGTTAAAGAGCTTTGTGCTCTATTGTTGCATCTCAGTAAGAAGCAAAAAGGGCTAAGTAAGGGCCTCGGAGGGCTGCAGAGAAGTGCAGCTAGGGACTTGTTCAGCCCAACCAACCAGCAGTTTAGCAATGACATGGCCAGGGTTCCTGAGGTACTCCACCTCAATGCCTCACCCTGCACACTGGACAAGGGGCCGTAAGGCTCCTATGCGAGTCTGTTCTCTTCCACATGGAAGCCCATCCTCTTCAAGTAAAATCTCAGTTTCAGGAGGGTGACCTCCTGGGCAGCGGATGTTGCAGCTGGTTACAGGGGCTGGAATCCTTCACGTTTAAAGACGTGTTGAGGGGTCACATAGGTCTGCATGCGCAGCCTCGGGTGGTTCATGCCTCCCTCGTGTACTTTCAGGAAGCATGCGCAGCCCTGCTGGACCAGTGCCTCCGCTATGTGCAGTCCAAGGGCCCCGGCAGCGCCCAGGAGAAGACCTCGAAGGACATCAGCGTGGCTTTCTCCCCGCTCAGCCCTCCCTCCGTGTCCACGGCCTCTGGCCGCAGCCCGAGCCTTGTGATAGATGGGAGGAGTCTGGCCTACGCCCTGGAGAAGAGCCTGGAAGACAAGTTCCTCTTCCTGGCCAAGCAGTGTGGGTCCGTCCTGTGCTGCCGCTCGACGCCGCTGCAGAAGAGCATGGTGGTGAAGCTGGTCAGGAGCAAGCTCAAAGCCATGACCCTGGCTATAGGCAAGTAATATGCCTGCTGCCTCCTCTTGGTATACCCTGACCCACCTGTCCCCTTCCAGTCTATACTGGAAGACGGGAGAGCGATGACCCAATTTTTCCTATTTATAAAATCACACCAGTGTGATCAGACAGGCAGCACATTCCACACAGAAAGCTTCTATTTGGAAGATACAGCATAGAGTAACAACAGCTGCAAGTACATCTTCTTGTTGTTGGTTGCCATTGAGTCAGTTTCGATTCATGGTGACCCCATGTGCATAGAGTAGAACTGTGCTCTATAGGGTTTTCAAGGATGTGACCTTCTGGAAGAAGATCACCAGGGTTGTCTTCCAAAGCATCTCTGGGTGGGCTTTAACCACCAACCTTTTGGCTAGTAGTCAAGTGCTTAACCTTTTGTGCCACCCAGGGACTCCAAAGCACATCTTAGGGGTCAGTAATAAGTTGCTAGTTTAAGAAGACAGAGCTTCTGCTGTTTCTTGGGAGCAGGGAGGGAGACTAGAGACCTGCCAGTCCCAGGCAGTCACAGCCACAGCACAGGACACTGCCCACTCAGCATGAGGCCAGGACAAGTTAGACAGGACACAAGGACCCAGAGGGCTACCATCCTTGAAGTCTGTCTGTGTGTCTGTCTCTCTCTCTCTCACATGCACACACACACACACACACACACACCCTCAAGCTCACCCCTTTCCCTATTCCTATACTTCATGGTGATCAGAATTCTCAATCCCTTTTGCCAACTGAACTTTACTGAGTTTTCTGATTAATAATCTTAGAATTATCCATCCTGAGAAATGAATAACTGCTGACTTTTACATCGTTTACTTACAGGAGTGTGTATCTAATAGTGGTTCTCCTTGCAGGCGTTCTAGGCCCCTCTGCAGTGATGCGATTGTGGTCCCCTGCCTCCTTTGCCCAGTGCAGGGCATCATCTCAGCCCGTGCCTGGTTCTAGTTCAGGCTCAGACACAGGTTCAGAGACTCAGCAGTGCCACCTCCTGGTGAGGGCCTGGAAAGACTGCAGGTAGCATAGGAAAAGAGGTCATGGCTATGATCCCCATAGAGCAAACAACTGATCTCCCTGAAAATAGAATTCATACCTAGGTGAGAGTTTGCACTGAAATAAAGCCTCCTCCCCAGTCTATAATAATTACAATATTTTCTGCAGAAATTCCGTGACAGCCATTCCTTGTTGAAATTGAGATTGCCTCCTTCTCAAAATGGGCACCTAATCTTGCCAGCGGAGACGGTGCTGAGCAGAGTTCATGGTGGGGTGAGGAGAGAGTGGTATAGGCCTTGGCGTGGTTGTCATGGAGATGTGTTGTGCGAACGCTGGGAGGCTGTGATGATGCTGAGGAGAGTTCCCAGTGGGTGCAGATGCTCAGACGTGGCCGCCTGGTCCAGGCGGGTGGAGGAGAGGCAGCCCTTCCAGGATGGCCCCTCCCAGGGAAGGCTGTCCCGGGCCATCTTGCCACATGCCTGGAGTGGCCTTTGGGTTTTCCAGACAGAGATGGAGTCTGCAGGTTATTGTGCACCGTGCACCATCCCTACCCTCTGAGCTCAGCGACCTCAGTGATAAAGTATGATGTCATCTGCCTTACAAGGCTGGCATGAGAGGTGAGTGTTAAACCACATTCTCAGTGCTGCACCCACCTGGCACAAATGCGTCTTCACAGGAGCTTGGTATTTAAGAAATAGAGGTAAAGCCTTGGCTGGTTAAAAAGAAAAGGAAAAAAGAGAAAAAAGAATCTCTAAAGAGAAAGGGACAGGAATGTCCTGCAAGTGCTTTAGCTCACTTCTATGAACATGAGTTAAAGCACTGCTGTCCCCCTCTTCCATGTCTAGCGTATGTACTGTAGAGAGCGTCACTGCATACCGTATTTCACTTGAATTGGATGTTCTGGGAAACACTGCAGAAATTTTTTTGCTTCCCAGAATTTTAATTCAACTTATCTCCCGTGTTGGGCCCAACCCCCAGAAAGGACAGAAAAGCCACAGGCAGGAGACATTCTGCAGCCATGTTATGAGTCACTCCGACTCTGTGTATCTGCACCTTTTACCAGCTTTGCAGCTTGGGACATGCTCTGTGATTTGGGCCATGTTGCTGCCCAGTTCCAAGAATGGTGTCTCACTGAATGATGATTCCTTGCTGTCTCTGCTTGTCTTTCCCCAGCAGTGCCAAAAGTATGACCCATGCCCTGTGCTCCTCAGCACTGTCCATCAGCAGCTTGCCTGATTAAGCAGCAGTTCTCCTTTAGCACACCCACAGAGGGCCCAGCGGTGACACAGTAGCCAGTTAGCTGGCTGGTCATTGGTATGCAAGCAGAGCTCTGCAGTTTGCAGCACAGAACGTCACCTCCTGCTTTTAGTTTAGAAAACTGCTCACATGATTATGAGTTGGAGGAGCCTTGGCGGATCTGTGAGATGCTGGGAGTAGTTCCATAACTGTAATAATGAGGAAGATGAGGAGAGCACCTTCCATTGAGTCAGGCTGCATGATAAGGAGTGTTTTGATATGTGGACCAACACTGTAGAGTGAATGCTACATAAAAAGGTAGCTCAGCAGCAGCCTGCGTTCTGACGCCTTTAGGTGGCTGGCAGTTCCAAATCCCACACCATGGTTGCTACGTCTGCCTAACAGGGGCGGACACTGCGCTGACTCTTCGCCATCCTTCCTTTCACCGTTTCCCAGGGCTCAGCCCCATGCGGACTCTGGGAAGTCAGTTTGATTCTATGCACCCTACTTACGCATTTCCTCCTGCCTGTGCTGTTTCTAGGAGACGGAGCCAATGATGTCAGCATGATCCAGGTGGCAGATGTAGGCGTGGGCATCTCTGGCCAGGAAGGCATGCAGGTAGACACCAGTCGGGCTGTCTGACATGACCCAGGGGCTCTCACTGGCCTCTTGCTTCTGGAGGTGCCAAAGGAAGAAGCACCTGGCCTCCGTTTGGGCTCTGTTCAACTAAGCCAAAGGGTTGGCCTGAAATATAACTGACACTCATACACCTTCTGCTAAGCCGATCGTAGAGGATAAGGTGGAATTGTTCTTCACAGTTATATAGCAATGTGCCATAAACACGCCTGCTTCTGTCTACAAGGATAGTTTTGTGAAATAGCAGTCCAGAGAGAGGCCAGGCACGTCATTGCTTCTCTCTGGCTGTTCTGGCCATCCTTGGGAGGCATTTTTTTACTTTTCTGCACACTAGCCACCATTTGAAAAACTGGCTTCTCTGTAGCGTGGTTGGAACCTGGTATCACCATGAAAGTGAGATACAGCTACCTTGACTCACGTGGAAATCCAGCTTTGCATTTTTCATTTGCCTTGACACATGACTGAGACATTGAACAAATGAGTTAATTAAAAATGCACTTCTTTTGGATGTAGTAGTAAAACAACTTCCAACATTTGACTAACTTGAATCACAAAATTTTGGAACCTGGTAGAGACGTCAGGGAACAGTTTATCCAACTATCTTTTAAACATCAGTATGTTGACTACCCTTTATTCATTGATTAATGGATGCATTCATTCACTCAGCAATTATTTATTGAGCACTTCATCTGTGCCAGGCTTGTGCAAAGCCCATTAATTTTCTTACTTGAAAGAAATTTAAGGCCCAGGTGGGCTGTTCCAAGCTGGGAGCACTGTGGCTCTACCCCACCCCGTCCTTAGCACTTCCCTTCCTCTCCCCCGCCCTCGCCCTGACCTGCATCACTGTGTGATGTTTCTTGCGTGTGTGCTTTTTCTCCACGACACTGAAAGTGAAGTCCGTCTGACTCCTCTCCCTTCACAGTGCCCAGCACAGTGTGTGCATGGGGCTGAAGCTCAAGGAGCATTTGCTGAATGAATGAATACAGGCGTTAGTTAATTCATTCTGAAGTCTTTAGTATTACCTCTGTAGCTCCCTCTCCCTGTAGTGACAGGCTGACGCTGAGGGGCGCAGTGCCTGTGAGCTGCATCTGTTAGGAAGCTGACCAAGTCTCTGCATCTCATAGCCAAGACCCTGATGTTGAGAACGTGGTTGGAAGGGGCCTGGGCTTCAGCCACCGTCCACCTCCTTAGGGAAGGAGGCTGGGAGCCAGGGGGGTTTACGATCTGAGCAGAGAGGAATTACCAATAAGCAAGGTACACATGGGCTTACTTGTACTTCCTTAGTAATCTATAGTGCACAATTTCACCTGTTTTTCACCAGTCAAAGGGGTCAAGTGCTGGTGGGCACTAGGGGTACAGAGTGACCACATCTGCTATCCTGGCTCTCATGAACTTCCAGACAAGTCTGGAAGACAGATAGTTTACACTTAAAAAAATAAACATAGTTGTAATAAATGCCATGAAAGAGTATTTCACAGGAGACTCTATCCTAGTGTGGAACACCTGGGAACCACCTTAACAAAGGACAAGACTATGTTAGGGCATGGACTTGTAGGAGGGAAGGAGTGGCAGAAGCCAGAGAACCAGATGGACCTCATCAGGAGGTTTGTCTGCAGTTTCCAAGGGCTGGGGATTCTTCTTCAAAGGTAGCCTATAGGTCTGCAATGTAGATCCATTAACTTCATTTTAACAACTGTCCTTTTTGATTGAATTTTTAGACTAACATCCTTGAGGACAGGAACGTGTCTGATGATCTCTGTGTCTCCAAGTCTGTACCTGGCAATAGTAGGGCTTTAATGAATGACTTTTGAAAGTCATTTCAAATAATGAATAAATGAATGAGTGATTAAAGAATACACAAAGCCTTTTAAACCCCTACATGTGGACAAGATGAGGTATAGAGACATTATAGTGATGGTATTCTATTTCAAAGCAGGGACAATATCACTCTTTTCTAGGTGTTATTTGAATATAGGAAAATCAGTTAAATTTTAAAAGCAGATTGACATTTTTATGTGGATTAGCCTCCAAAGATAGGCAGAAATTTTTCCTGCCATTTGGTTTGATTTTCTTCTAAATAAAGAATTCACTATATGCAGATATGAAGTTACTCTGGGAACAGAGTTCTCATTTTGATGGCATTCTGTCTGGGTCACTTGGCTTACTGTGCGAAGCACAGTGCCCAGTGAAGCTAAGGGAAAGCTTCCACCCCCAGGCATTGTGGAGAACACTTGCTGTCCCTCTTCCTGCTGCTCCCTGCCCACTGCCCTGCAGAGGGCTCCCTGATGCTTGACTACATGTGGAGGCCATCGCTGGTGGCTCCTGGGAAGAAAGACCCAAAATGCACCTCCTAAGATAGCCAACCACCTCTCCTTGCGCGTATGAAAGGAGGGGCTGTGGTTCATCTTTGGGCTGAGACCCTAGTCAGATTTGGATGAATAAAACACCCTGGGTAGGGGGAGGGGTGGAGAAGGGCAGGGAAACTTCATAGGTCTCTGTATGATTTAGCTTGTTAAGAAAGCATGGAAAAAAGAAAGCAAGCCCTTTTATTCTTCGTTTTTGGTTTGTTTGCGTATTTTATTGTACTTCAGATGAAGGTTTACAGAACAAATAGTTTCTCATTAAACAGTTAGTACACACATTGTTTTATGATATTGGTTAACAAGGCCACGACATGTCAACACTCTCCCTTCTCGACCTTGGGTTCCCTGTTACCAGCTTTCCTGTCCCCTCCTGCCTTCTAGTCCTTGTCCCTGGGCTGTTGTGCCCCATTAGTCTCATTTTGTTTTATGGGGCTGTCTTATCTTTGGCTGAAGGGTGAACCTTGGGAGTGACTTCATTACTGAGCTAAAAGATGTCCAAGAGCCATACTCTCAGGGTTTCTCTAGTCTCTGTCAGGCCAGTTAGTCTGGTCTTTTTTTGTGAGTTAGAATTTTGTTGTACATTTTCCTCCAGCTTGTCCGGGACCCTCTATTGTGATCCCTGTCAGAGCAATCAGTGGTGGTAGCTGGGCACCATCTAATTGTGCTGGACTCAGTATGGTGGAGGCTGTGGTAGTTGTGGTCCATTAGTCCTTTGGACTAATCTTTCCCTTGTATCTTGTTTTCTTCATTCTCCCTTGCTCCCGAAGGGGTGAGACCGGTGGAGTATCTTAGATGGCAAAAGCAAGCCCTTTTAAAACTCATCACTTACATATATTTGAAACCTTAGAAATCCTATAAAGTGATATTCCTGACCTAGAATGTTTGAGATTGAATTCTTTTTACATATTAAGTGCTCAGTATATAATTATTGAGTGAATAAATGAACGCATTTATCAATGAATAAATGGTGGCCAACATACTGAGCGTTTAGGAGACAATAAGGAGACCATAGTAGAACAAGGTGTCACTCTACTGGAAACCAGATTTCGCCTTCCACCTTTGCCTTGTATCTTGGGGAAATGAGAGAGACCCTACATGAGTGAGTGTGTCCCCAATAAAGTAAGCTCCTCTCCCTTTCAAGGCGGTGATGGCCAGTGACTTTGCAGTGCCGAGATTCCGATACCTGGAGAGACTCTTGATTGTCCATGGACATTGGTGCTATTCTCGACTTGCCAACATGGTGCTGTACTTCTTCTACAAGAACACAGTAGGTATTTGACGCTGGCCATCAGAATTTCTGAATGAGAAGGCCTGAGTGCAGAGGACCGTCACTAGCATCTGGCCCGAGGGCACCTACCCAGCCTCCCACTGGCTTGTCTCTCTTGCCCTTTGTGAATTTCCCCATTCCTAGCCTTGCACCCTCTGGCTCAGAGGTCTGGCTTCATCGCCTGTGAGAGCAGCGGCACCTCTGAGGGGTGGCTTACATTACATGAGGTCGTGGATGCAGGTAGGTAAAACTGTAAAGTCTGCTTATTACTGTGTAATGAGAAATGGAGTAATACTGAGGTCCAACATTTGCGCACGGTCACACAGCCAGTAAGCCGTTGAGGCTAGATTAAAATCTGGTCTAACTCTAGCACCTAAGCGCTTAACCACCCTGTGAGTGTATTTCTCTAGGGTGTTCTGCTGAGGTGTCTGGAAGCAGGAGTTCTCTAATCAGTGCATTCTCCCACATAGACCAAGAACATCAAATAGTGAGCAGAAGTGTGCCTGTGATCCTGGAATCAGAATGAGAGGACTTGTTCACTCCATGCTTGTGGCATTTAAAGGGCTCTATTGAGACACAGCCACACAGGGAGCAGGCAGGTGAAGCTGGGCTTGGAGAGCCAGCGCAGGCCCTGCCACATCTCCCCTGCCCTCCAGCTCACTCTGAAAGCAGGTTGACCTTCATCATAACTGTCCACAGTTGTCTCCTTGGGGACTTAGAATAAAGGGCTTGATGCCTTTTCTGTTGGTATTCATGTGTTTCTCTTAATCCTGGCCAGAAAGGTTTCTCTACAGCACACTAGCACCAGCAACATGGCCATTTCAGAGCCCTGCATCTCCCCTGAATAGGCAGGGTCCCCACTACAAGTGGTAGGTAAACATTCTGCTGAGTAGCTGCTGGGTTGCTTGGCCCCAGCCTTGGACAGCTTGTGGTTGAATGTGCAAATATGGAGACAAAATGAATAAACTCATGCGTAAGTGGCCTCGTGGAGTAGTCCATCAGTCTAGCTGTCCAGGCAGCAGATCACCAATACCAAGGTCCTCCTGTCCTCTTCTGAAATATGATAAAGAAAACATGTTAACCCTAAACTGCCATCGGGACAACTCTTGTTCATGTTCTCCACAGTTTCTTCCTCATACCTGACCTCCCTTCCTCCTCTTATCCTCTCCTACCCCCTTACTCTCTCCCATTTTTCCAGCTGTCTGCCAGCAAATAAATACTGAAACTTGGAGCCAATCAGGAGTGTCTAACGTGATAGGCTTTGTACTGGAGTTAATTCCAATTGGGTTCTGCCTGGGACGTATCCCAGGAAGGCTAGGCCAGACTGCCCTGTGCCTGCACATTCCTCCTCACTTGCTCCAGCCACCAGGTACCGAATCCCTCATGCTGAGGGAGGGTCCGTGCACACAACTGCAAATTCGGGGTGCCCACTCCCCTTCCAAAGGAATGGATGATGCTTTGACTAAAAGAGAGCTGAATAAGTCCCAGGCCAAGCACAGACTTGGGTCTGAGAGGGTGGAATCCTGGCCTAGTTTCTGACCCCAGTGAGCTGTGCTGTCTCAAGCAAGTCATCTGACTTCTGTGGGTTTGTTTTCTTTATCTGAAAAAAAAAAAAAAAAAAAAAAACATGGGAGCTGAGCTAGCTGATCTCTATAATTCGTAAGTAAAATTTCTCAAATTGAGGGGATGACAAAAATGATGTAGGCTGAACCATTCCACATTTCTGCTGCAAATGAAGGCAGAGTAGACCCGCTGCATTGGCCATAGCCCCCAGCCTGCCAAGGTGGATTTGGCCTCATTGCAGGGTGCTAGAAGGAGAAAAGGGTGCCACATTTATTCCATATGAGACAGAGGGCCTTTGTTAACATGCAGTTAATAAATGTGCTTGAGGAGGAGTTCAGAGATAATCACTTTGCCTCCTAAAATGAGAAGTTCATTTTGCTTTAGGAATAGGCTGGCTTTCCTTGCCAGTAAGAAGTAGAGAAGGAAAGTTTCTATAGCAACAGTGGTTTGGAAAGAAGGCTTTTTGATACTAGAGAAAAAAAATCTCAATTATATAAGTGCCTTTCTTCCTCTTTGTCTTGACTCCATTGCTCACTGATGACTCATTTGACCATGTGTGGGGGTGGGTGCAAGAAAGTCCTAAGAGGAGAGAAGTACAAGAAAGTCAGAGAAAAATCCAGGCCCATCAGGTTTCCATCTGGAGGGGAAAGTGACATATTGAGAAATTGAAGTCATCTATTGAAGCAGGATTTGGAGGATATGTGTCATTATAAGTTACATCTTCAGGTCTTCACAGCAAGCCATTTTCAAGTCAGGAAACAGAAGCTCAGAGAGTCTGAGTAACTGGTTCAAGATCAGAAAGGCAGTTGGCGGCAGCTCCTGAGCCAAGACTCAGCCCTGTGGTGGCCCCACACAGAATGTTCTTGCATTGTACCAGGTCCCCTCTTGGGCCTATCTATGTCCTCCAGGCTAGGACTACCATGGACCCCCCCTGTGGTTGACTCAGTTGGGTTTATCACACCAACCATGACTATAGGCAAGTCATTTAACATTTTGGAATCTTAATTTCTTTTTCTCTAAATGGGGTAAGAACGCTGGCTCTGCATGAGTCTCAAACAAGTAAAATAATGGTACTGCTACTAACAAGAGCAAACCACAGGTGAGCACCTACAGTGTGCCAGGAATTGTTGTATTTCAATGGCCTTCATTCATTTACTCCTTACAGCAATCCCATAGGTCAGTATCACTGATATGCCCATTTCATAGACAAGGAAACTGAGGCGGAGAGGGGTTAAATGATCTGTGGCAAGTCATACAGCTGATAAGTGTAAGAAGGCTCTGCACTCAGTAAACTGCTGTGCCGTACGTAATGCGCCGTGACCACTGATATTCAAAGATCTAGTAATAATGGAAAGAGATCTGGCTTAGCTCCTCCTGCTGTGCATAGGCCTGGAGCAGGCTGCTCAGCCTCTCTGAACCTCACTTTCTGCTTTGGCAAGCAGGGGTAGCCCAGTAAGCTAGCTGTAAGGATCAGGGATAATACCAAGAACTCCCTCACCTCACAGAGGGCTCAACAGACAGCCAGGGCTGGAATGAAACAGCGGTGCTGATGTTGTTGCCGACTTTGCTACCACCCTGTCTGCCCTGCCCCCATGGGAGTCAGTAACTGTCCACTGCCCCTACTAGGGAACGCTGCATCTAAAGAAGGGTGATGGGATCAGCGGTGCAGCCACAGGCAGGTTTATTTAGGGTCCCATCAGAGCAGTGGTACTAGAGGAGAAGCCTCAGACCTCAGGGGTTGGTGTGCCCAGCTGGCCCTCTTGAAATGGGAGCAGCCTAGACCCCCTGCCGGGCCTCCCTTTTGTTTATTTTTATTTTTTATGTTTTCATCAATGATCTTTAGTTCTTCAGGCACAAAAACTCATCTTTCCAAGGGCTGTTCCTTGGAATTCCCAATTCTCATTGTCAGGTCTTTCTGCTCAAGAGAATGAGGAGGGAGAAGAGGTGGAAGAGGGAGAGGCAGAGGGCAGCAGCCAGGCTAAGGTTAGGGCTGCCTTTGGAAAAATGTTGAAATGGCATATCCTTTGTTGTGTATATTTTCACAAAAAATTAAATTAAAAAAAACCTAGCTCAATAATAATAACATCAGCAAAAAAAAAAACTAGAAAATAAATAAAAGCCAATTTTTTTTTTTTTAATCTTTACAGTGGAACTCTGGAGAGCCCTTGGGTTTCTTGGATTAGAATCTTCAAGGACAGCTGAAGACAAATTTCCAGTTCTCGTTCTTTACTGGAGCCTGTTCTTTTCTCGATTTCAGATGTTCGTGGGCCTCCTGTTTTGGTTCCAGTTTTACTGCGGCTTCTCTGCATCTGCAATGATTGACCAGTGGTATCTCATCTTCTTTAATCTGCTCTTCTCCTCACTCCCCCAGCTCGTGACTGGGGTGCTTGACAAGGACGTGCCAGCCGATGTGCTGCTGGCCCAGCCACAGCTCTACCAGAGTGGCCAGAATAGAGAGGTAAGGGCTCGCTGTGCTCCCAGTAAATGGTGAACATTCTAGAACCTGACTTGTGGTAGGAACAGAGCAAATCCTGCCTGCTAGACCCCTAGTGCACTATGTGAACTCGGGTAAAAACCATCTTCCCAAACAGTCCAGTGGGAAGCCAGCCCGGAAGCTGGGGGAAAGCCAAGATGGCCACGTGGAGTCAGCATCGCGTGGGACGCTGGGGCCAGAGGAGGGACTTTGCCAAAACAAGCCAAATGAAGCAATTTGTTATGAATGGGAATTAACAAGAAGACAAGTCTATAGGGAAACTACTGAAAGAAGTGAACACAAACAGATAACAATATACGTTACACCAAATAGATTGACATACTAATTACCAACTATTCTCAGCCAGCAACTAAAGTAAGCCCTCCATGCTTCCCTTTGGCTGGTTTGATTATTAGGTGTGTTCAGAGAGACAGGAACCCATTTCTCTTGTAGTGAGCTCTAATTTGGAATGCATTTACTTAAGGGTTGACTTCCCGGGTCACCATCCCCCTCTGGGAGTTCTCACAGAAGCAGGCAGCACAGGTTGGAGAGACAGTCGGCCAGGCAGAGGAGAAGGGCTGCTGCTTGCCACGTGTTGCCTCCCCGCAGGAGAGTTATCTTAGCTAACCAGGCCAGTCCATGGGATGTGCACACTAAGTCACATCTGTGGGAGTTTAGGTCAGGAAATGCCTGTCCTGTCCGCTTCTCCTTTCCTGCACACCAGTGCCTGCCAGATGTGCAGGAACTTAGCCAGTTCTTAAGAACAGCCTGATTTCATGAATATAAATGTGACTCCCAGATCATGAAGACTTCGTGACTCTATATCAAGGTCACTTTGCCCATAATATATGTTACTGTTGTTAGGTGCTTCAAGTTGGTTCTGACTCATAGTGACCCGATGTACAACAGAAAGAAACTGCTGGGTCTTGCACCATCCTCACAATCGCTGTCATACTTGAGCCCATTGTTGCAGCCACTGTGTCAACCCATCTCGTTGAGGGTCTTCCTCTTTTTCACTGACCCAGATTTGTTCATTTGTTCATTCTTTTAGCAGTCCACCATATATTTAATATTCTTCACCAACACCACAATTCAAATGCATTAAGTTTTCTTCTGTCTTCCTTTTTCATTTTCCATTTTTCTCATGCATATGAAGGGCCCAAATTGAGGGAAGAATGCCCCAAATTTCAGGTGCTATTCCTACTCTAAGGAAATGGTCCCTCATGGGATTTAAAAGGCGGTTTCATCTTTTAATTATTGGCGTAGATGTACTGTAGCTGGTCTTACTGAAGCAAATGCCCCCAATGAGTTACTCTACCGCCATATGGTTCTGCAAATATTTGTTGAATTATTTTTTCCACCCAGGCCTGTGGTGCCTTTCTTCTCCAAAAGTACATTTTCCTCAGGTGCATGAATTGCACGTTAATGGCTGCAGTTTATTGGACAAAGTCACGGGAAGAGATGTGGACTTCCCTATAACATCCTTGCTTGTGTTGTGTCCCAGGAATATCGGCCACGTGCATTCTGGACAAACATGGCTGACGCCGCCTTTCAGAGCCTGGTTTGTTTTTTCATTCCTTACCTGGTAAGTTGGCACCTGAGCGGTCATCTTGTCTGCTGTGTCAGAGGACCACAGACGCAGGACACCACTGTCTTTCAGGCCTACTACGACTCGGATGTAGACATCTTTACTTGGGGCACCCCCATTACGGCCATTGCGCTGCTCACCTTCCTGCTGCACCTGGGCGTCGAAACCAAAACCTGGGTAAGAGCAGGCATGGGCTCATCTCAGGAATGTGCAGAGGCTGCTGGACCACATTTCCTTGCAGACTCCCTGAGCTCTAGAAGGTTTTGAGCAGACTGCAAAGCCATCCACACTCTGTGATGGGGAGGAAAATGAAGCTGCCAGCCAAGTGGCCAGGAAATACATACCTGAACCCCTGGTCGGGGGGCTGCCCAGCCCCTCGCCCCACACTTCTGGACACTGCTTAAAAAGCCAGTTGCCATGGAGTCAACTCAGAGACTCTTAGCGATCCCAGGTGTGTCAGAGTAGAACCATGCTCCATAGAGTTTTCAATGGCTGATTTTTCAGAAGCAGATCACCAGGCCTTTCTTCAGAGTCACCTCTGGGTGGACTCAAACCTCCAACCTTTTGGTTAGCAGCTGAGCATGTTAACCATCTGCACCACCCAGGGACTCCAGACAGTACTTAGCTCCCCTCCTTCTCCACCACATTTTTTCTTTCCCTCTTTCTTGCTCTCAACCCCCTGGCTTCCTTCTCCCAACCTACGTCCCAGGTGGGTCCAGGGGTTTCTGAGACTTCACCCAGCCCACCCACCTTCAATGCCAAAGACCCCTGTTCTAACTAAGCTTTAGAACATCAAACTCAGCCATGAATGACTCATACACATTTTTGTTGTCATTGTTTCTTTCAAGTTGAAATAAAAGATCTTTTCTTTCTTTCCTCCTCAGACCTGGCTCAACTGGATAGCTTGTGGCTTCAGTATCCTTTTATTTTTCATTGTGGCTTTGATTTACAATTCTTCTTGTGCAACGTGTTATCCTCCGTCTAACCCCTATTGGACTATGCAAACGTTAATGGGCGACCCCGTGTTTTACTTGACTTGTATCATAGCGCCCGTGGCTGCACTGCTGCCCAGGTGGGTACCAAGGAGGACGTCCCCAAGTCCTAAGTGAGCTCAGAGAGCATTTCACGCTTGTGCCTTTTCACTGTGTGACTCTTGGGAACGTGAAGGCCCCACCACAGCATTATCTGACTTTTCTATGTGCTTTTTCCAGATTGTTTATCAAAGCCCTCCAGGGGACCCTTTTCCCCACCCAACTCCAGCTGGGACGCCAGTTGGCCAAGAGGTCCGCCAAGAAGCCCAACATTCCCAAAGACATCTTTGCTCAGGGACAGCTCCCGAAAGAACAGAGGAGCAGCAGCAGCTCTGAAGCCCCCTCGCAGGACGGCACCTCCCAGGCCTCAGTCTCCCTGGAGAAGGTGGTGGTGAGCAGGGAGCATGGTCTGGTGCCCTTAAGCATGCTGCCCATGAGGACGCCTTCCCAGGAGGACAGCCTGCTGAAGGGACTCCACAGCCAGGCCCTGGGGCCCTTCATGCCAGAAGAGGCTGCTCAGGAACGGTGTCCCCAGGACTCTGAGATGAAACACAGCAGCACAAGTGGGACCGCCTCCCTACCCCCCATCTTCAACCTGCCCAACCTCAGCTCGCTCAACTGGATTTCCTCCCTGTCTCTGGTCAGCGGGCTGGGAAGCGTACTGCAATTCTCTCAAAGTAGTTTACAGGTGGATAAGCAGGATGACGAGTTTCTGCCCAGCCCCCCTCAGCCCGCTTGTGAGCTGCGTGCTTTAAGGGGACAGACAGCCAAATCCTTCTAGAAAACCTTGATGTGACCTTTTTTATATCAGTTATTAATATTATTTATGTTTATTATTTGCACAGAAGAGTTCTAGTGAAATGTATTTTAAATGTTTCCAAGGCTAAAATGGAAAATAAGAGGTACCAAAGAGAGAGAGTTTATTTTTTAAAGTTTTAAGTAGAGTATATTGAAAAGAAAAATAAGAGCTTTAATGTATATAAAAATTTAAACAAGAGTGACACGTGAAAATTGTGTTTAAATTTATTTTTTCATTTCAGTTTATAAGAAAATGCAGTATTATTTTTTTCTTCAAAATGAGTGACCTTTGTTTTTACTGAAGTGTGAATGTGTGACTGAGCATCAGGAAGTCTGGGTGGGTGTGGCCAGCCAGGAGGAGAGAGGACATGAGTGGGGAGCACACAGCTCCCGGTGGTAGACTTCACCTCATCTTCTGATTGAACAGCATGAGAAGGCTGTTGCTCCACCTTCAACCAGAAAAGAGATGTGCCACCTCAAGAAAAAATACGTGTATGAAGTTCATTCTAACTCTCGATTCAATGCAGGCATTTCATAAGGGTCGCCTTGTCAGTATTACAGTCCCTGTGTGGTATTTTGTCTGTTAAAACTATAACAAGCAATAAACAACTTTCACTTTGCAAAGTGTGTCTGGTGGCCGCAGTTATACAAAATTATTAATTTATGACCTAACAGAGTATGTTTTGGCTAAGGCACATGTCCCTACATGAGCGCTTTTAGACACTATGAAAAATGCAGCATGGCAAAGTACAAGCTGCGTCACAGCACAGCACACGTGTTACAAATCAGAGCTGACACCTGGTCATCTGCCCCGACCAGACCCTCCCACTAAGCATTCAGTCTTGTTAAGTGTATATCTTCAGGTATCTAGTGTGATTAGCCATTATTTCCTCTTCAGAGCTCTTTCCAGTTTGTCAGACTGATCAATTGCCTGCTCTGCCAGACACGGGGCATACAGACTCAGCAGGGTGAGCTCCCTGCAGAACAGGTGTACAACCTCTGAGGCTGCCTGTCCTGAGAACAGCGACAGAGACAGAGGAAGGACTCTGAGGACTAAGAGATCCCAGTGCATACCTGCCAGGGAAGAATGGCCAGGTATCCATGGCGTGGTTTCACTGCAAGGTACAGTAAAGGCAAATGGGGCAATCAGACAAATGGGGCAGGTGCAGGCTGGACAAGTATAAGAGATTGGTGGGCCTCAGGGTGGCTAGACTCAGCAACTCCTGGCTTGTCTCCCATCTCCCTTCCCCAGCTCCTAGCCAGGGTGTCACAGGGCTGGCTCTGAACTCAGTGACACAATGCATGCATCCACACTGGCCCATCCAGGACAGTGGATCTACATTCCAAGCAGAGCGCTGATTTCCTTCGCTCCGTAGGTTACAGGACAGTTCCAGAACCAGGCACTGGCAAGTCAAGGGGAAGGTCCAGACTTGGGCTCTAGTGGGACCTGGGAGGCACTCCAAGGAGGTACTCCAAGGACTATCTGTGTTTTCTGGGAGGTGGGAAAGAGGAGAGAGGAGGGGACATGGCTTCAGCATCTAACACTGCCCATCCTAAAGGTGGTAGCCATCCCAACCCTGCCCCATCCCCATGACTGAAACACCAAGCAAGGCCCCTCATCTATCGTAACCACCTGTAAGAAGAGGATTTCCTTGGGAAGGCCCACAACTCTGTTTCCAAAATTAAGGTAATGGTTGTCAGCACAAAGTACAAGAAGAACTATAAGCATATTTACCTGAGTATCTGAGAGTTCAAAGTGTGCCAGTTTCCAAGATTTTCTACTTCCTACACTCACAACCTACCGACCTTCTTTCCGAAGGACCTCTTCCTCTATAGATCTACTTCCTCTTGAAAATGGGAATGATCCAGGAAGTGGCTTCTAGAATATGCACAGTGTCATGGATTGAATTTGTCCCCCAAAAATATGTGTCAACTTGGTTAGGTTATGATTCCCAGTATTGTCTGGTTGTCCTCCATTTTGTGATTATAATTTTATGTCAAAGAGGATTAGGGTGGGATTGTAACACCCTCACTAAGATCACATCCCTGATCCAATGTAAAGGGAGTTTCCTTAGGGTGTGGTCTGCAGCACCTTTTATCTTACAAGAGATGAAAGGGAAGCAAGCAGAGAGTTGGGGACCTCATACCACCAAGAAAGCAGTGCCGGGAGCAGAACTTTGGACTCGGGGTCCCTGCGCGTAGAAGCTCCTAGTCTGGGGGAACATTGATGAGAAGGCCGACACAGAGAGAAAGCCTTCCTCTGGAGGTGATGCCCTGAATTTGGACTTTTAGCCTACTTTACTGTGAAGAAATAAATTTCTCTTTGTTAAAGCCATCCACTTGTGGTATTTCTGTTAAAGCAGCACTAGATGACTAAGACACACACCAAAGCCATTTCAGAGAAAAAAAATCATAAAGGGCATTCGCAGTTAGCTGCTCTTTAGGATGAAGAATATCCTACAATAATAATCCACCATAACCAACTAAATCATCTAAAAATGAACATAATACTGGAATAAACTTCCATGATTATCTAAAAAAAAAATTGGGTAAAATATATTTCCTTTTCCTAATAACAACTCAAAAATAAATAGGAGAAGAGGATCAATTATTTGTCATTGTAAAGCATGTTTATTTCAAACCCAAAACCAATTAATTATCAGTCATTGGTGTGTTGGATATTGTATCTCTTCGCCTGTATCCTAAACACTTAGCAAGAAACAGAATGATTCAATGTATATTTGATAAATCTAAAAATTAATGTTAATAGTGAAACATTGAAGACATTATTGTTATAATCAGAGGTAGAAGAAAATTGCTTGTAACTTATTTGATTTTTCTGGAATTTCTGGATAATGCAATAAGACAAATGTTCCAAAAGAATGAATATTGGAATGTTAGAGACCAAATTATTACTTACATGTGATATGATGGTATACCTGGAGAGCCCAAATTAAAAAAATAAAAGGCTCTCAAAACTAATAAGAGGATGCAATAAACTGACTGACTATTGTGGCAGGGTAAAAAGACCCCACACTCAAATTCAATCAAAAGAGATTTTTATTAAGCCAAGACAAAATCATTCGAGTGAGGGAACCGTCAGTGTGCGCTGGGCACAAAGACTAAGGGATCCATTGAATCACAGTCAAGGAGCAGCTAATATTCTATTACAGAAGGAAGTAAGTTAAGAAAAATTCTGATTTGTTTTTCATTGATACATGACTGTCAAATGTGGGATAACAAAAGTGGGATCATTATAATGAGTGGTTTAAAGAGCTTCTGTTTACTAGTTACCACCTGGTGATCTGTGCTTTGTTGGTTACTACTTAGTAACCATAGGGGACTTACAAGGGGGGTTTCAGGACATTTGCCAGACATTCAGTTCTGAAGATGTAGAGGTTGCATAAGGCTCCTTGGGAACAAACTGACAACATTCGATCTTGGCTTGGTTATGAAGAAAACATTTCCTTGGAAACCAGACAACAGGTAGAATGTCCTAACCAGTTCGATTTTCTGGTTCTACAGGTTTTCTACACACTGTGGATTCCAGGCCTGGACCTCACCTTAGTTTCATTTACTTTGGCCAAGCACTTCATGTAGTTTTAGGGTCTTCATATTACTATGAAGAAAACAAACTATAGCTTTCCCATAGAACAGTAATAAGCACTAATAAGGGTCAGGAGAGGAGAGGAGAATAGATCTCAGTCACCAGTACAGCACCAGCACTAAGAAAAATTAAAATGTCTAAACATAATATCAGTATGTATAAAGACAACTTACCAGAACTTAAGAAGATGTTAATAATACCACGGCTACAAAGACACACCTCATTTCTATGTTAGAAAACTAAATAGTGTAAAAGTGCTGCATTCCAAACACTTTCTGCAGCCTTTATTTATTTCTTTCTAGTTCCTTGTTGTTTCTTCTGTATGTTTGTTTTGCTTTTATTATTATTATTGTTATTATTGAATTAGCAAAATGATTCTAGAGTTTGTCTGGAAGGATATATAGGTGAAAACATCAAAGAAAATTCTAACACAGTAATGGAAGACTAGACTGTAAAATATTTCATAAAGTGCTAATACTTAATATAGTGTAATAATAATTCAAGTAAAGATAATAAATAATAAACATAAACTAGAAATGACAAAGATGTATCCTATTCTATATAAATTTAATGTATGCCAAAAAATGGATCAAGATTAAATGAAAAATAAACATTATTCACCAAATGACATTGGTATGAAGTCAATAATGTAGGAAAAAACTCATTCTTAGCTCATGTACATACTATAAATTCCAATAAATTCAAAACTTAAAATCCCAACCGCAGAAAAACCAGAAGAAACTAAAATCAAATATTCATCACCCTTCCAGAGGAGGCAGCCCCTCAGGCACTCAAGTTTTCTTTGACTTTTGTCTGGATTTGCAGAGCATGATATTAGAGGGGAGAGACCCAGGCAGAGAATAAGGTTAAGGTTCATAGTCAAGGGATAGATTGTTCATGTGCAGAACAAGACTTTGAAAACCCTAACAGAAGAGGCTGAAGATACTAGAGATGATGTAATGCTGAAAGACATTGAAGTTATGACCTAAACAGAAAGGTGAGACGTCTCCGAATACCTTAGGTGACTACATCTTAGGAGTAAAAACCACACAGTAGAGTAAGGGACACACCCTAGTACTAGGAGGAAAATAGATCCAGCCTAAAATCAATCCTGAAAGGAACAAAGAAGTCCCCCCTAGACTAATTTAGCTGTCTGAAAGAACAAAACACAAAGGAAGACAAATTAATCTAGATTCCATTATGTCCCATCATGATGTCAAGCATACAATGAGAAATCACTAGACACATGGCACAGGAAAACATGACTCAAAATCAAAAGAAAAAGCAGTTAATAAAAATGTCCTGAGAAAATTGAAATATTGAAATGTATCAAGTATAAATTCTAGAATCAAGAAACACAATAGCTGAAATGAAAAACTTTATTTTTTCTCCAAACTTGAGGAGGCTGTGGGGCCTGAGAATTTTCATTTGATGGTGGTGATAATTTACACGTTTGCTGAGATGTATATATATATGCCATGTTATCTTTTACAAATTGAT